TACTGTTGCAGGAATTGTAGCAAATCAAATACCTCGCAATTCTCATCGCAAGCATGGCAAAGTTTACGATAAACCGTTCATCGTAGGCTTTTACGACAATTCGTTTAAACGCAAGAGCACTGGTGGTACTTAAATTTTAATAAAACGACACGTAGCGAAAGCACTTACAATCAAGTGACAACCAGTGGCGAAACGTCTGTAGTCGCGCCTGCCGGCCGACTTTGGATGTCACGAGCACGTCTCACGCCAAGGGTGGGTGATTATGGTTAAAATTTAAAATTTTACGTATATTTATTTACTTTTTTATTGTATTATAGCCCCAACCCGGGAACAAGAAACCGAAAAAAGTTTTTAAATGGTGAAATCCAAACGTAGCTGTGTTTGTACTGGGTGGCCGAACAAAAATGTCGGTCCGTTCTTTGAAGTGTTGCTGGTCCATCCAGCCTTTAATTGACAGCTTTCTAGTTTCATTTGAAAGAGCAGTGTCCGTTCCATATAAAAAACAGGAGAAACCAATATCATACAAAGCTTTGAATTTTTTACAAATTCTTTTGAAAAAATGGGTGAAGTTGGAGGATGTCCCGGAAACCAAAACTGAACTTTGTCATTTTTGAATTCAAAATTGCCGTTATTCGACGAAGTATTTTCATGGGTGTAACCTTACTATTTCGGGAGGGAAAATGTTTCTTGTTCATCTCCTCGCTTTACAAAAGTAAAAACATGTGACCTTTGCTGGATGTGTTTGGGCTAAAAGCGGTAAGCACAAAGTACCGCACATACGATTCTCGTGAAATCAGCTAGCCGGTGTTTTAATAACAAATTTCTCTCTGACGCTTCAGAAACTGACAAGGCTTAAACGTATTCCCATAAGAGCAATCATTTAGCTAAATTTATCAGCCGAATCGGCTTATCTGGTTGCAGCCTGTTTTGGAGCAAAAAATTTTCCCTAAAATAAGCGAAAAAATCTGACAAAAAACTTGCAGTTTTTCGAAAGGTCACAAAATGCGGGAACTGCATAGCTCATTCAGAGCATGCACCATTTGACCATGCAAACAACCTGTTTTTCTTTAAAAAGCAGAAAGTGTTCGCTAAGTAAAACAGGTGAAAAAAATAAAATTTTGCGTGGTGGAAAAACGTAACACCAGGTTCACAAGTTTGCGAGCGGGACAAATAAATTTCCACACGTTTGTATTAACACTGTTGTTAATCAGCATGTTTTAATTTTCTGAAACAGATTTTACTGTTTCTGGTAGCTAATTAAATTTTCTATCGAACGCCTCTAACTACTTTACGATAGGACAAATGGTTCGCGAGAAACAAACCAAATCAGGAGACCGACATTTTGTACGGCCACCCGGTAAACTGCTTAAGTATTGAGTAATACCCAAACACGAAAATGCCACTGCATATTGCGGTGGTTTCTATTCTCGAAACACCTACTCTATGTACTACGTGTACATTAATTATTAAACGATTTAACAAGCTGTAAGATTAAGAAAGAAAAATGGGACTGCCATTGAAGAACATATTCGTATGATATTTTATTTAACACTACCAAATTAAAACCAAAAGTCCCGAACCGTCGTTTGACGCTTACATCCTTTATACTAAAAGAATAAGAAGTGCTCAAAATTCAACTGCGGGGAGTCAGCCCCAGCCACACACAAGACCAAACTTCGATATCTTGCTATCGTTCGATAGCTCTCATCATGTAGTAGAGCCATCAAAAGTTAGATCTGAGAAAAACAGTTCCAGTTTCATGAAAAAATTGAAAAAACGTAACATGCCGAGTCTACGGGAGAAGTGAAGAATCCACCATTGCAGAACCGACCACCTCACCATTGTCTCAAATAAACAGCCAAAACCTTTTTGCTGCCAAGCAGCCACGGGCTTGCACAACGTTTCACTGGAACGAAACTTGAATGTTTATAAATGCGTTTCTAATTTCTCATCGAAATTCAGACTCCGAAAGAAAGGAGGGTTTGATGAAAAAAGCAACGAAGAGTCGAAGCGTATCGCGCAGTTCAAGCATGATCATTAAGACAACTGTCCTCCGCAGAAGTCTGACCAGTTTTAAAGTAGCAGCGCGCCCAAGGGCAGCAGCTGGTGACTGGTGAGCATTGGAAGTACGCATTTTTTGGCAGAATTTGCCGGCTCGAAAGCAGTAACAAAGGATTTTCTAAAATTTCTGTTTTGTAAAATCTGTGACAACCAGCAGAAGGCGAAGCAGCCTGGCAGAAAACGTTTTAAAAATGTAATAAAAATCAGCAGCAAAACATTATCTACAGAACGATATGAATTACGAAGCCGATTTAAACCGCGCGATTTGCACGGGGTCTGTCATTCGATACACATCTTACATATCAAAGTCAGCAGCAGAGCCAGCAAAAGTTTGATTTGAGAAGAGTAGGCAACGGTGGCTCCAGATGTCACGGATCATTAGAGTAGGTTTTTCCTTTGCGTCATAAATTTTCAGAAAATCTGATTGTTCTCCAACGTGTGGAATAAGAACCGAAGACAAAGCCGCAGGCGACGCCGAGCTGCGGCGCGAGCGGGGCATCAAGTGAAACATTAATCGTGGCAATTTTTTTGCACGGGATTGCATTCCGCTTTCCCACCATTTCCCATACTGATATTTTCGGATTTAAAGGGCATGGGTGGAAAAATTATTTTTACGGGTGGGATATGCAGAAACCAGAAACGTCAAATGAGCAACATGTGCTCCATAGTTCTGAGTCATAGTGCTGTTTCCGGCATCCGACCTTGGGAATTTACGATTGCTCCAAGTTTGTGACGTGGCCATGAAAAATTATTCGCACATACAATACAACGCATGATACGAAAAGTTAACCGTGATATTTTTCATCAAAAATAAATAATAATAATCATGATATCCTTATGATTTTAAATCGTTCCTATTCCGTAGCCGGTAGCCTATATATTGCGCGCAATTTGCGCGGGGTCTACTAGTCACTTAATAAACCGTATACGTACTCACCAAAACAAAAGCACACGATTAAAATCAAAAGATGCGACATTTCCATTAATTTAGAGCAAGCCATCTTTAGCTGCTGACATCAAAATTCTTTTTATAAAAAGATGAGGCAAAGCTCATAAGGAAGCAGAAAAAGATCAAGTAGGATAAAAATTACTGTGCAAAAAGATCTCAGAACCTGATTCAAAAAAAAAGTAAACGGAAAAACCGTGGTACTACTCACGCAGCACACTTGACTTTGTGCAAATTATCTTTTATCGGAACAACACTTAAACCATAATTTAATCACAAATTTAGTAAGCTTATAAATACTTATAAAAACTGAAAATTGATTTTCAAATTTCGAAAAACTTTAACCTGTTTAATTTTACACAAACCTCAACTTTATCGTTCTTCATTTTCAGCACGCCCACAAAAAAGTCTTTCCTTCAATATCAATCTCGTCCGAATCCACTGCAAGCGTAACGTCCTTGCGCGCAGCAACTTGCACAAGACAACATCATCGTGTAAAAACTTTAACTGTATCGAGTACTATCGACCACGCAAGCTGGCTGCACACCGAAATGCAGCGATTACGAGCAAGATGAAAATCCTTAACTTTTCACAAACCTTTTTAATCTTTTCCACCATTTCAGCGGTGAATTTATCCCAGCCTGACTGCAAGCTGCACACGAAATAAACCGTTTTATATTAGAGACTTTCAGATAATCACATAATTAAATGATTATTAATTTTGGATCAGTGCACTTACGATTAACTTTCCAGGAAAGCAAACTTCAATAGGAACCTCGTCATACACTTCGGCCAACTGGTTCTCTGGAACAGTCGCAGCTCTCGACGCAAACACATCTGCAGGCTGCAAAGTGATATCCACTCGTAGAGACATACTGTGACATCAACGGAAACCCAAAAAATGGGAAGAACGGGAAGAATCCAGTTTTAAAAGCTAGACGCATATTCGCAAATCGCAAGTAAGTACTGTAAAGTGTAAAGTGTAAACAGTAAAACTAGCTGCTAGCACAGCTGAATGACAGACACAGATGACTCAGCAGAACCACAAAGGTCGTAATCGCTTTTCCGGTGCACAAGGCGCCAGTTACGTTACTAAGTCACCACATTCAAATCACCACTATTACATCAGGAGTTTAAACTCACCGCTCTTAGCTCCCCGCTCTGAACTCACGCATATAAATTACCAATTAACTCAAAATCACCGCGTTCAAACCATCACTTTCACATCACCATTTTCTAATCAACACTAATCTATCAGCAGTTATTATTCACTAATTATAGATCACCATTCATAACTCACCACTTCACGTAATTTTAATTTTGCGCGTTTTGTACGCCATACTTGTCGTCGTCGGATAAAATTCAAAATCTGCAACCTCAACGAAAAGTTTTTCTTGACACGCAACCAATGTTCGAACAGCCAATCCTACGGAGGCACCCCTTGCGACATAAGCACAGCACAACTAATCTGTATAATAGGTAAGTATGAAAGCTAATACAATTTTACAAACCCTCGATCGCTTGAGTCGGCTTGACCAGAAGAATTTTTTGCTAAATATCAGGATTTATTTTAAATTCCATAATTTACTATAATACTGTACTTAAGATTATTTTACAAGGTAAAAGCAGAAAAACTCGTTTGGCCGATACAGAACGTTTGGGAGCTTTTCTTTTTCCGTGGCTTTTGTGGCAGTTTGAATTACGAATTTACGAGTATGCACTTAGTATTAGTTACGGTATGTCCAGTCACGACTCGGCTAGATTCCTACTTTCTAGTTTGGAGTAGTTCCGGACTTCCCACTCCAAGATGGGTAGCTTTTATCTCATAAAATTAAATCAAGAAAAGCCCTTTTATGTTCAAGCATGAAGCATCCACGTGTCGTTCGTTTCCTTCGTTATCACGATTCGGGACAAAGACCAAAGGAAGTTAGCGGTTGGCAAGCTCCCTATTAAAGGCAAACGACCCCGTAATCGTAACATGATGGACAAATTATATTCTGCTGGCAGGAGGTTCGGCACGGTACACTCCAGATCTCCAGCCCACTGTTCACAGTCAATTTTTTGGGTTTCTAAAAGCGTTCGGTGCATTTTGAAGCAATTCCGATACTCATTTTGGCTTTCCCTTTTTTTCTGACGCTGTTTTATGATTAACGAAATTTCACATCTAATTCTAGACACTGGTATAAAAATTCTTTACGCCGGGAAAAGGAGCACGACTGTTGTGGTGATCGCGCTGTTTCCAATGGGGTCGATGCTGACGCTCGTACATACCCAGTACTGCTATAATTTGCGGAAACGCTTTTTGGCGATGAAGTGTCATCCGTGACTCGTGAGCGTACTAATTTTATCAGCAGTCTGTCTGGGTGTTCATTCAGTTGTCGGTTCTTTTGATTTACTGTTCCAATCTGTGAATGTAATCGCTGTAATGTTATGGAAATTTATGATTTACCAATCGGAAATGCTTTTATATTACGATTTGCAGTCAGCTAGAGCTGCTAGACGTTAAATTATGTGTGCTGTGTTGCTTCACCTCTTGCCCATCCGACCGAGCAGGCTTATTCGGTGTTAAAATCTCCATCTATTAGGACCTGTCCAAACAACGAGGCCATCTGCAATCTAACAAGCGGGTGTAATTATTCGGAAAGCTGCCCAGATCCCCGGAAAAAATGAGCGGCCATGGTTTGGAGGGGCATGCGCATTCGATGAAAGAGGAAACCTACAGTATTCACCACTGGCAGCCATGGGTATTCGCGTCGACAGCCATTCTGGTCCTCAGTCTTGTCGGCCTCTTGGGAATACTCCTTGTACCAGTTGTCAATCGGGTGCTGTACAATCATCTTCTGCAGTTTCTTGTTGCGATGGCTGCTGGATCGCTGGCGGGTTCGTGAAGCTTTTCTGTATATTTAGCCGTGGCTCTACTCTGAATACACAGATGATCAGATCATCGGTGCTGTGGCTGCACACCCATGTTTGTTTGAGAAATTTTTAATGTGCACTTTGCTTAACACTGTAAATACGAGCATATTTTTGAAATTCTTTTGGCACCACTATACCCCTAAGTGCACGGTTCAATAACTGCAGTACTTGTTTTTTCTGAAAGTTCTTTGATTATTGTGTTGTATTTTTACCATTATGAATGGCTTTATCCCAAAATTTAATGTCGTAATAGCGTGAATTGCAAGTTCTTTAGCATTTCAGTGTTTATTTTAGGGGATGCACTTATGCACTTGTTGCCGGAAGCACTGGGTCTTCATGTGCATGCTCCGTCGGCTGGGGCAGTGCATAATCATGGCGATAATCATCACCACCACGATCATGCGGAGAACGATACATTACATAATCACACACTGTCATCCCCTGCCGTCGCGGCACATACGCATGATGACGCAGCCAAAACGGCAGCGGTCTGGAAGTGCTGTGTGTGCTTTGCGGGCATCTACATATTCTTCCTGATTGAACGTCTGATGGAGATCTTCCGTGAGTACAAGCGCCGACGGGAATTGGCCAGTGTGTCGCTGAGCCGTGTCACACACGACCCTCACGACCACCCCCACTGCCACACGCATGTTGTCGGATTCAAATTCTCCGGAACGGCTGATCAGTGCATCCGCACATGTGACGATGAAAATGGCAAAAATGGTGAGATTACCGATTACGGCAGTAAACTGCTCTTATCGGAAAGGATGGTGATAACTTGCGCTTTTAATGGTGATGGAAGTGTCTGTAAACAAAGGTGCAGCGTTTCCTCTTACACTGACACGTATTAAGGAAGTGCTCACTCAGGCTCAAATTTCGACCTGCATTTCAGGATTTTCAGCATGTACAATTTCCAGTGGAACAAATTTTTAACTTCAGTTCTGTCGTATGCGTGCGTACTGCTTAAAATATTTAAGTGTAAGCACAGTATGCCTACTGAAAATTACCTGCTAGCGATATCGGTTAAATTGTGGCCTCCAGTACAGTCTTTGCAGCGTCGACCGTGCGCATGTTCTCCGTTTTCATTTTTAAATTGTCTAGTGTTTGTGTGGGACTTCATGAGCCGAAAAAATTATCAGCTTATAGTCTTGTACTCACCACGGGCTGGGGTGTGTTAGGCCAAATAGCTCGAGAATTAATTAGGTTATTTAAATGTAGTTCAGATACTAGCCTAGCTTGATTCCTAGTGAAAATCGTTGCATGTGTAACATATCCCTATTGCTACAGTTTGAGCAATAAGCAGTTGTTCTTCAACAGTCCACACGTGAATTATGTAACACTAATGCTGTGATACTCTCGGACAGTATATCGGCCAAACTTCAGAAGCGACTGCGAATTTGTTACTTACTTATCAGTACTCCTTTCCAAGTACTGGAAAACTTATTTGTACACTGACTGATATCAACAAGAATAGATGGTTTTGCATATCAGTTGGTTTAATAACTTTAATTAAATGCCGCTCCTTTATCTCGAAGATTTGGATACTTTAACATACTGCAGAGCTCTTGTTGACATATGATATCACTTATAGGCATTTCTCGGAATCCGGCTGATAGCTTGGTTATGGAGACCCTTTTGGAAAAGACCAAAAAAGATTATGCCGCGAACGATGGACATGATCATAGCACCCATTCTAACCACAACCATCATGGTCATTCCCATGGACGAACAGCATCTCCGGCTCCAACGAATATAGCATCGGTCGCCTGGATGGTTATACTGGGCGATGGAATGTGAGTGTGCAATGTCATAGCTGAGTATACGTACTTATCTTTTTATGATGCATTTTGTTGCTTTCAGACACAATCTGTAAGTTAATCCTCCCAAAATAAACTGGGCAGAAGTGCGAAATATGACTGAACTGAGCAGAATTTGACACGGACGCATGGGATTGATTATTGTTGCTGGGTTTGCAAAGTGATACGTTTGGCGCATTACTCCATGAGTGACCGCGTATAAACAGGATTTATTGAAAGATTTATGAGATTTGTCTAAAAAAATCTTTCATTTTTCTGGGGACATTTTGTGGGCGTTTTTATAAATCGTTTATTTTTTAGAATCGATGGATTGGCGGTTGGCGTGGCTTTCCGTACGGTTTCCGGCGGGATGAGCACGTCACTGGCCGTTCTCCTACACGAAATTCCCCACGAATTGGGTGATTTTGCGGTGTTGCTGAAATCCGGCATGAGCGTCCGTTTGGCTGTCTTCTACAACTTAGTCTCCAGTGTCATCAGTTTTGTGGGCATGTGCATTGGTGTGGTACTGGGCCAGAGCCATGACGCGACACCGTCGTGGATTTTCGCTCTGGCTGCCGGTGGCTTCCTATACATCGCTCTTGTGGATCTCCTGCCGGAGTTACGACCGGTGGAGGCGCGCCGCGATGAATCGCCACTGTGGCATCTGGGACTGCAGAATCTCGGATTGTTGGTCGGTGTGGGCATTATGGTGGTGATCGCCAGGTTTGAAGGGGACATTGAAAGAGCCTTTGGAGCATGAACGGGTTTGTGGTGCAGATGGAAGCGGTGTGTATTTGTTGCGTGATCAGTTTTGGTAGCCCTTTTTTATTGGATAATGTTCACTGGGGACGATTTTTTTTAAATGGGAGGGAATTGTTGCGCTTGTCGATTCTTTCAGTGGGTCGGCAGTTTGGCGATCTTGAAGCATTGGGTTTTTATGAATTGTCTTAATTGTTAATGTTACGGCCCTACGAAGAATGTTGTTTTTGCTGCCATGGAATCGTGATAATATTTGTGCACTAATGATTTGTTATGTTATTCACGGGAAATTTTAACTAGACAGTGCTTACTAGATACGGGGTAAAATTGACCGAATCAGTATGTGTACAAGCAGAATACTTGATCGCGATTTACGATATATCACTACAATACTTAATGTTTAAATGTGTTAACACGTTATTTACGTATTCTGTTAATAACTTGAGCAGAAGGAGAAAAGTTGATTAAACCGTTGCTTTTTATGTTTTCTTTCTGGACTTCGGTTTCAGGGCGATTTCGGATTTGATACGTAACCGACATTGTCCACATAGCTATTTCTGGGTGCAGTCCTCATTATTATTATTATTCACAGCTGCAGCATTCACAATGCGGCGGTGAATGTGATTAGAACACTACTTAATATAACACAGGATTAAATGGCAGCTGCTGCATCATCCCCAAACAAGAAATGTGTGAACAAAGTGCTGTGGAATATTTTACACTCGAAATCACAACCCCTACGTGCACCGAAGAAAAAACCCTTCAAACGCCTGCCACACATTCCCAGAAAAAATTTTTCGGACAGGAAGAATGTCGTGATAGCCGCGAGCGGGAATTACAACGTCTTGTGCCGCATACGTCCAAGTACCCATTTTGATCCAAGGGCGCTGGTAGTTGACGACAAGGAAAAAGTAAGGCGGTATCCGCTTTATGGTGACCTTTCGGTTCGTTCATTTTTTTAATTGACTTACACCGTTGCATCGATCGCAAGTGCAGTCGGAATGTAAGGATTGTTATCGCATTTGGCTAAATTGGCGTGAGCTAAATTCGCTTAACTTGCCTGTACAAACATTAAATTAATTCTTGTAACTATCTAGCTGGTATTTTTATTTTAAGATCATTCGCATTGCACCTCCATCTAAGCCCTATAGCGACCCGTCCGGGGTTTCTGAGGTTGTGTTTCGTGGCATACAGTGCGTGTATGGCGGAACGCAGCGGCAGATATACAATGACGTTTTGAAGCGACATTTTATCGACGCCCTGGATGGGTTCAGCAGCGTCGTACTACTGTGTGGAGCAAATAATAGTGGCAAAACATTTTCCGCTGTTGGGGAAGAGAATTTCGATTTCCGCGGAATGATTCCTAGGGGAATACAGGACGTTTTCAGCGAAATACACGGTCGAAACGCTGATTATGACGTAAGCATAAGGTATCCTTAACCAGCCACTCAACACCGGTACCAGTTTAGTTTGTGTGCACAGTGCACACTGCACAGCAGGAAAAGGTTACTGTAACTAATTTAGTCGCATACCAGCTTAACTGGGTACAAATTTAAAAATCGCAATACAGTTACGTATATTTTGCAAAAAGCCAAGCGAATAATCGGGTATAATAAATTATCCTTGTAATCTGTTACTGTTCACGCCTTACTCTACAGTCTACTTATGGTTAGTTGATCTAGCCGCATCTACAGTAGGATCTCTATAATTATATGTGAGAGTGGTACTTGTAGATGGCTTTTTAATCTTGTTTAACCGTTTAACGGCACAACATGCACGTCCGCTAATTGTATGAACAGCATGCGTATGGTAAACATATAGATATAATATGCCTATCGTTTAAAGCAAATCTTTAATAGCATGTCCTGTTTTGATATGATTGGAAACACCTTAGTGGACCTTCTGGCTGCAGAAGCCGTGGGAACGATGACCATCCGGAGTTATCATAACCTGAGCTATGTGAAGGAAGTCGGTTATACCCGTGTACGCGATGAAGAAGAAGCGCTGTTTGCTTTGTACACGGTACTTCACAGATCTTCTAATTGTTAATTGAAGTAGCACTATCTTTTGCCTTGCATAGTATCAGTTTAAGATCATAAAAAAACTTACTGCCAGCAGCTCACGCAATTGTAGATGCAAAGATATATAATATGCAGATCAATTGTATCCGTGATTTGATGCGAGTTGACTTTAACAATAGGCGATTCATAACCGGAAACGGTTTTTTAAGCGATTTCGGAATGGACCACCCGTGGAGTATCACAGCATCTACAATTTCTTTATTCAGGTGTGCATGCGACGATAAACAGTTAGGTAAATATTTGTGACTACTGTACATACGAGTGCACAAATTTTCTTCCGGTGTTTATTTGGAAAAGCAACAAAATTATGATAGATCCCATGAAACTTGTTTTAGCATCAGCAAGGTTGCGTCGAGTACAAATAAACTTTTATATAGACAGAATCGAAACTGTTGACCATTCCAACATTCAAAGTTTCAAAGGTCAGCATCATCAGACTGGGAAGCTTTACCAGCCTTCAGGACAAGCCGGTGAGCAATAATTTTATGAGTCATTTTGGTCGTAAGGTTTGTACAAAACAGAAAAAAACGGAATCTTTATGCACTACCTGTACGAAGTATATATAGAATTACTGTACATAAGTCGCCACTGGCTTAGTGTCAAAATATTACAGCATATTTCAATGGAGCAGCATGGGATGTTGCTGGATATGAACAAAACATTGGGACATTTGGAACAAGTGATCAAATCGCGAACACAGAAACACAACGGAGCGCATTCCGTTTCTTGTCGTCAAACTCGACTAGCGCATTTAATGCAAGACATTCTAACAAAAAGATCGTCAAGCGTTTATGTGATGGCCTGCATTTCCGGTGACGCAGCATTCCTTAAAGAATCGGTAAAGTACTGTGCCTGCATGTAATTGCAAGCTAAAACTCGCTTAACGGCCAAAACCAACATCGTTTTGTTATCTTTATTATGCACGGTTTCCCCTTTTCACTGCTTCGGCGCAAGGGTCATCATAAAATAAACTATTTGGGAAACCTTGGATTTTGACAGTTAGCGACACTGCAGTTTGCATCGCGACTATCGGGTATTAATTGCTCGCCCGCCGAACACAGCATAACTGATCCAAAAAAATTCAACACCTACCTGAAAGAAGAAGCGGAAATGCTGAAAATGGAACTGCGAATGTATGACTTGTTGGTAAAGGTTTCCATATGTGTTTAGTTTTTATCGTAGCTCCATTGATGTATGACAGTATAAATCAAAGTTGTAATCCGTGAAGTAAAATGTAAGCGGTTGTACATTATCGAAACTGTGCTAGCTAGTACTATGCTGCTGACATAACGAAACAGCAGTTCATAAAATAACGACAACATAACGAAACGTGTATTGTATATAGATATAGATATACATAATGAAAACAGCAGTATATCTATACTTGAAGTATACGTACAGTTATACACATTAATACATAACGAAAACAGCAGTTCATAAAATTAATGGAATTCGCCAAAGCGTCAATTAGAACGACTCTTACGTTTCTATCCTTGGAATTCTTTGCTAGCTGATCATCGCTGAATGATTTATCCGTATTTCCTAAGATTCAGTTATATATACAGTAGGTACTGCCGAGTGCCGACCGTGCTTCAGCTGATAATAAAGTAAGCAAGATATGTTTTTTGCAGAATGGTCGAGAAGCTTTGGATTATTCGCTTAAATCAAAAAACAGGGATGTCTTCCATACTGCACGGGAAGTCAAGAACTTCGTGGAAGGTCGCATCGCTATGCCGAAATTTGCAACCTTAAAACAACTAGAGGAGTTTATGGGTTTACTCAAAAGACTGGCAAAGTAGGCGCCAGATTTGTTTCTCGCTGGCAAACGGCGAAGTAATAAGAAATGTCTACGGCTGTAAAATCGAAAGGTCACGTGTCAGAATTTCTCGTCTCGTACACTTCTACTTTTGTTACTCAATGATAAGGCAGTCTGAATGGGTGCAGAGACGGTGACATTCCCACTGATCCACCGGATATGCTGGACTTGCCCAATCGAGAAACCACTCAGATTGGCGTTCTTGAAATCGATGCAGATGGGAAGGTAACGAAGAAATAACAGCAGCAGTAGAATTTCCGATAGTGAGTCGGTTTTCATTTTCATTGCTGGGTGTAGTAACCTGCACTTGACAAACCTGTTATTGTAGAAGTACAGAGCTTTCATAGAAATTTTCATGCAATCTGTACAGTTTTCATTTACAGATACGTATCTGTAGAAAATTTTCTCGTGCCTTTATACATCATTCGAATGAAACCACTGGCATGCCTGTTTACTAGTGGTGCAGGACGTACTGAAAGGAAGCAATGCAAAAAAACGTAGTTTTACAAGCATGAGATGCTAATTGCGTTTTGTAGTCAAGTCCACCAAAAGAACTGCTAGATATCGAGGGAGTGGGCGATTTGGACGAACGGGAAGGAACCGGCGTTGGCACACCCGGCAGCACTGTCAAGGGAAAAAATGTAAAACCTCTGATGAAGAAGAAAAAAGACGACAAAAAAGAAGAGAAGACTAAACTGGAAAAGATGAGTGTGGTTACGCCGAAAAAGAACGGGAAGGAGAATACGTCAGGAAAGAAGAAAGAACGTGAGGCATCTAAAGATGCTAGTGCCATTTCGCCGGGAGGAGATGTTCCAGTGGAATCCCAGCGGAAGGGTGAGACTAACAACAAGACCGATCAGAAGCCGGTACAGTTTTCACAGCAAATCCCAAATACAATAAATACATCCTGCTGCAGTGCATATTTTGCAATTGTCGATACAGACTGATACCGGAGCCGAATCACCGAAGCTGGACTCTTCGCCGGAAATTCGGCAAGGTTTACCGGACAAAAATGCAGTAGATGTGGCTACGCCTGGCGTTGCCAGTAATGGCAATCCTGCGCCGAAATGCTTTACCAAATCAGAAGCTTTTCAAGCGTTTGCACAGGACGTGCCAAGCGCTATGTTTCTTAAATCCGAGATCACAAAAACGCGCGGTAAGATACAGTACTTAATTATAAGCAATTTTTATTAATTGTATATGATTGTAGATATTTATGGATTTGCATCTGTAGAGCGAATACAGGGGTACTTAATTGTAAAGCAACTACTTGCTGTCTGAAGCCTAGAGGGGGCAACCTCTCTGTTGCAAGGACAATAAACTTCCATTATCCTACTTCGTAGTACAAATATTCGCTTTTTTTATAGCAAACCTAATTCAAAGCGAAAAAGATGCGGAAGCATTAGTCGACGCGCTCAACAAATGGATCGACGAGTTGGAAACCGCTAAGACTAATTACGATCGGTTGAGATCTGATCGGTTGATGTATCGCCCGCAAAATACCGGAGAAACACCGGTTGTGACCTTCGAAGAATTCAAAAATAACAAGAAAATCAAGGTATGCGGTTCACAGAGATGAACATTCTGTAAAGTGCAAATTAGCCAAAAGGACAATGTTGGGAATCCATATGCGCGTAAAACTAAGATGATGTTATATTTTTATTTATAGTATCTACGAAACCTAATTGAAACAGGATACAAAGATATCGAGAGTGCGAAGAATCAACTATCTGATTTACGCGAAAACCTATCGAACCATCGGAAAAAAATGTTTTACGGTACTAAGTTCTAGTTCATGCCACACATACGAGTTGACAAAAGGGTGCTGGCGAGAAGCATTATTACGGGCTATGGCTGACCTTTTCGTGTATAACAGAATTCGAAGACTGGTTTTCCCGTACATATGTTGAGCTCTCTGCAAAACCGGTCACAATGGAAACACCTGATTTACCTGCCAACAATAATATCGCGGTCACAGCAGACGGTCCCCAGACTAATGCGGAGTTGGAACATTCTGGCAAAGCTTCGAAGCAAACAAGCAGTCGTGATCCACAGATTTTCTGTTTACGCGAGCACCCGGTATATGTGTCTCGCTGACTGTCTTCGCTTTTGAAGTTTGAAAAGACGTGCTGGCATTGACCGTAGTAAACTGAATGTTATATTATTGTGACAGTTTGCCAGTGTAGCGGAACGCTACAGACATGAACTAGCCGAACTGGAAGATCGCCATCCCGAAGCAGTTGTTTTCAATCGGGCGCTTAATCGCGTTCGAGCCGCGGCCAGAATTCGCCAGCAGAATCACGGAGCATTCATGGTAGGTGATCTTTTCTGTTTTTCGCATAATTATGTTCAATTTCTTACTGTAGAAAGTTCAGCTGCTGAACTTCAGCAGCTACTTCTGTAATAAAAAAATATCACAAAACGCAGACTTCTCATTTATTAGACAGGCTTAGAATATCTCTGGAGCCACGATGTTTATCATCTGGTTGTGTATTTATACTTTCTACATAATTATAGCGTAAAAATAAAATATAGATATAGACTGTATGGAATACGAAAGGTTAGTGGTGGTACGTAGGATTCAAGCGGTGGTTTACACTTCATTAGCACCTATCTAGTAAATGTGGAAAATGCCGCAAGATACCACCAAGGTTTAATACTGTTGCAGGCCAATGGACATAGCAAATTGCAGCTGGACTCCAGTCTGAAAATTGGTGAAATCACAACTTTGCCGTCAACGCTTGCTCATACATCGTGAAAGATTTCTTCAGATCGTCATCTGGCCGAGTGCTGTGGTACACGGGCAAAACAGTGGAGCAAAAAAGAACCGCTCAAGCAGCCATAATTCGGAAAACAGTTAGAAGCAAAAAAACGAGAAAATTACGAAGGACGTATGACAGATAACGTGCAAATGGTACAAATTATTTTGATAATCCGGGTAAAGCGATAAGTTAACCCTTGAGTTTACGATATGGATAATAAACCACGGCAAGGGCAGACTCGCGCTTTCCTTCGCTCTAAATTCCAAAGTGTTGCCCATAAAATGAGCGAATCCTCGTTAAGCCATCCGGTTGTACGAAGACGTTTCGCGATTAAGTCCTGTAATCGATAAGGCAAAAGCGATAAACCTAACAATGCTCAAATACCGACAATACAGAAATCTGACGTTCAATAACAGAAGGCCAGATCAATGCACAGCAAGATGTATCGATGTTAAGCATACCATATTTCTGGCGAATCGCGTCCATCTTTGCTTCTCGTTCAGCACGTCTGCGTAACGAAATCTCTTATACAAACAAGGAACACCGCAGTTATAATAATAAATTAATTAGCCCACCGGTCAGCGTGACGCTGCTCTCGTTCTCTGGTTTCCCGTTCCCATTTTAAGGTCGTCCGATCCACCACGGAGCTGCAAATAATAAGTACAGTAACGACACAAGTGAAATAGAGATACACGACACAAGTGAACGACGACACGAGTGAAACAAGTGAAATAGTAACGACACAAGTAAAATAGATCCGAGAGATACACAATCGGTTCGAGTGCAAGAAAACAGTGATATCAATCATTATTTACACCGAGAGCGATTCAATGGCACACAACATTGAATGCCTATAAAAACTAAACGAAACTATAGATTATAAAATAAATAAAACTTCGAGAAAATATTTTGAAGGTAAAAAGACCAGTATCATCATCATTTCTCACAGTGAGTGGCATATCTAGGCCCAAGGGAAACGTAACAGATCACCTTTTTTGTAAAAGAATTAATAATTTGAAGTTCAAAACACATCAACGCATTAAAAGTTTGAAATGCATGATTACAAGCATTAAAATACTGGGATAATTCATTGGGAATGTTTTATGCGGAGCATTCAACTGAATACACTTAAATCTTTCGACAATCGTTACCTGCGCTTGTTGCGGCAGCAGCAGCAATAGCAAGTCGTTACAATGGCAATAAGCAGAACCCCGGCAATGACTGACATGGCGATAATCAATGCCTCAAAATTCACTGCAACATCATAAAAATCCGTGAAAATTCCACACTGACTACGGATATCTGGGTAGGTTTATGCACCCCAGCAGACGCCCCAACGCGCTTCCGACAGAGGACAGTCATCGGTAGGGAAGACTTTGGATGCAGGATACAGACGACATCCGTAGTTATTGGTCTGATTGTTGTGGCAAAAGTAGCACTGCCAACAAAATAACGAAACGCCATTAGGTTCGGCTCCCCCGAGTGCAGGAGCAAACAAACCAAAACCACGGAAAATGGCAGTGCATACTGGCTACTGCATAGTGCGTACTTTTGCGCCTTCCACCGCCACGCATTCATCGCAGGTCGACTTCGTGCGACAAACTACAAACAGGAAGATCAAAAACGCCTACAGAGCAGCTTACATGTTACGGATTAAGAATTAATATGCAAACTAAATCTTAAAACTTAAAACGATAAGAGTTTTTTGGCTTACGCTGATCTGGTGTTAAAGCAGTGGTGTTGACAATCGGAGATACCGTAGTCGGTAAGTCTGTGACCTGACATTGGGAATAGGGAACAAACAGGACAGCAAAACAGATCAGCACGGAAAAGAAGCGTTGATCCATCTCGAAAAAGGGAAGGATGTGGTTCGCGATGCAAAATCGTCCGCTTTCGTTACAGTACCTCAGAGAACTAATACAATGTCGCGAAACCAATGCAGTCAGAGTCAGATTAAGCCATGATCATTTCGCCACAGCTAAAACAAGTTATTCCAGTTTCTGCTTTGTGGTAAGCAATCAAATGGATATCCAAAATTTTATCGTAAACGGTAAACTCGTGGAAACGCCTACCTTATTACTTCTAGAATGGAATTTAAAAGTGCACGTGAAGGTGAACGAGATAAAATGACAGCATGTGAGCACTGATTGTGAGCTGCTGCACTGATTATGAAACACTTCAAAATCACAACATTGGTGGTGTGACGTCGCAGAGTACAGACTCTTTTTGGTCGTTACAAATAACAATCCGTAACATTTAACAATCGTAGATTTCATATCGTGATTCATGAATTCATAAATTACTCCCATGGAGCATGTCGGTAGAATCTTTTGGCTTTTTGAAAATATGGAAGTATGATTGTTGTTAATTGACTCGTGAATGCCGGGGTACACCGTACGTAATTACTGGAGTTACCTACCTACAATACATATTATTACAAAGTAACAAAGATGTATATTGGATATGGGATATTTCCTAACTTAATCGGACGGAATAAACAGCCGAACAGAAAGCTCTCTTCGAGAGCAAGACTCAGAAAGTCTACAATTAGAAATCTTAAATCGCTTCCGGACGCGTAGTTCTTCAGTGCATGTCTCGGTATTAATATTACGTTTCGTTTGCACAGTTGGTCGTTACCACAATTAGCATAATAAATCAGAATGGTGAGATGCGCGGTGTGCGATGGTGCGAAGTTCTTCGAGAAGGACGGATTGTATTATTGCGACACTTGTTCCACACAGTGTGCAGATCTCCATATCACTGGCGTCGATGCAGATGAAGCGATCATTGGTTATTCCAGGCGCTTCCAGATTTCTGCCGCTTTTGCACCGAGCGAGGAAGATGCTCTTGAGACCAGAACGGTTCCCGAAGGCAAAGGGCTGTTTAAGGAGGCCACGCCAGAATGTCGTTTCGTGCAAGCCAGCACTGTGTTACGCGCTCAGGTGCAATGGCTGATAGATAACGCCGGAGTCAAACCAGAGCTGGATGAAATTGTCCAACATATTTGGATAAGGTTTGTGCAGGTTGATTTCCATGCCTCTTGGCATTGTGCTTGTGTGTGTGGGCGCTGATTTTGGTTTAGCGCTTGCAGTTAATGTAAAGCATGTAAATTAATTGTAAATAATTGTAATTTGTGGCACAAACTATTTCAGTATGATGTTTAAGGCAGAATACTTCAGTGCAGTGCAGAGTGTTATCGGTTCGCTGGCTTTTGATAATTCCACAGCCTAAATTATTTATTTGCTTTTAGCTATGTGGAAAAGTCTTTGCCGGACATGAAGGCTTTGTGTGATGGAGTCTTTATGGACGAAAGACGGTTCAGCTTGTTGCATAAATCCGATTGGCAGGTGCTGTTCGCTTGCCAGGCAGACGAAGTGAATGACATGCTCAGACTCCATCGCGAGAATTTCCAGAATAAGAACGACACGATGGATGTCCAGTCGGCAACGTCCATTAAACCGGAACGCAAAAGCACTCATCCCGAGCGGCTCACCCTGCCGCGGATGCTAGCGGTACTTGTGACGGGATTAATGCACTGCCGAGAAGATATTCTGATTAGCGACATATTACGATGGGTTCGTCTGATGCTGTTACCGTGTGCTATGCCATCGGATTTTATTCCAGCAGAGCAGATGCATATTTATTTGGATATCGCTCGTGTTCAGGGTTTCGATGTGGAGTACGCCTTTCTCGAATGGGAGTTGGGGAATCTGAACAGGTCTGTGGTTCTATAAGGCGACTACCCTAGAGTTTAATGCTGGCTTTTCGTAATAAGTAATTAATAAGTCTCTTTTTAGCAGCCTCGTATTTACTTCCTTTTTATTACGCTGTCTCATTATTTTTTTGTCACAGAACTCAAGCATACCTTATGGTTAGCTTTTTGCAGATGATGTGCCTAACAGTATAATCTTTGAGTTTCTTTTGGCTGTTTTTGATTTTGTAAACAGTAAAACTGTAAGTGATAAGGTAAAACCGCAATATAACCTTGCTTCGATATTTTACATATTCTCTGTAGAGTATTCTGTCCATCGGTTTTGGTTTTTGTGTCCTTGTTCATTCGCGAAACTTTTTCATTCCGCTGTACCTACGTCAGGCTACATACGTGTATGCCTACGTGTGTTCATCAATGATTGCGGCGCTCGTGTGGTTAATGCTTGAAATATTTTTAGGCATTTGAAGCTTGTGCCACCAAGAGTTGAAATTATGTCTGTAGTTACACGCTTTCTGGAGGAATTAAATCTGCCGGCTGCGTTGGTGCCATTAATAGCACAAGTCATAGAGTGTTCCGGCTGTTCGACATATGAAATTCCACATCCAGTCGCTTCGCGGGACTGCATGCGTGTTGCGCGAAATCCTGAAGCCGTCGCAATGGCTTTGATTGTCCACACTTTACGAATTCTTTTTGGATTTGACGATGTCTGGGAAGCGATTTTAGTGGAAGCAGATAATTTGGCACGTCTTATCGACGGTGTTGCTGTCTTCAGTCTGGCAGAATGGATTGACTACATAAATTTGCGTCGAATAGCATTGTTTAAACATACGTCATTGCTGCAATCCTGTGATGGCATAGCTATGATGGAATTTATGCGGGAGCAAGCTGACTGGCATAAAGGGATTAAGAAAGGCATCTTGGAAAATAACACACAATATGAGAAGGTTTATGGCGACCTTTCCCGTGCTTTCAAGGTGAGAGAAAATCTGTTGTTAAAAGTTATGAGCGGTTGAATAAATCACCGGTCTTACTTTCAGAGTAAGAAAGAGTGTTAATTTTAAAATAATAATCTTCCATTTAATCGAATGCATTAATCGTGCACGATTTCTAGGATTCACGAGGAGTTAATGATTTGGTTTCTCGTTTTGTTACCGTTCCCGTAACTCTGCGACCATTTCGAGCTTGCACGCAAGAACTTGCCGTTTTGCATCCGGATCTGGCATGTGACTTTAGTAGTCATTCCATAAGCTACCTTTTTGCTAACGACTCCAACTGGCTTCCCAGGGGAATGCCGGATGGAGAAGCCAAAGAAATTCTGCAATCTTTGAAAAATATTCACCTGGCAGGTGTTGAAAATTGCCGAAAATCAATTACACTACGCTCGCAAGTTATGGTTAATGAATCTCACGAAAAGTTACCTTTGCGATACTTGCCACAGCCACTGCGATGGCTGTTGACCACTTGTGCGGAAATAATTGAGCAAAATCCCGCTTCTCTGTTGGGTCAAGTTCTGTTGATGGAAGAAAGCCTCTACGGGAAGGACAGTTGATACTTCGACGGAAGGATCGTTAGAGAATGTTCCCATTTTACGTGCTTTCAGTTATTGGACCCGTGATATTATGCATTTTTGGAATGTTAAAGTTTTATACTCGTTTTACGCGTAATGTTTATAGTTTTCTTTCTCGCTGTAAAGCTTGAATTCAATTTCACAACACTGGCAGTGAAACAGCTTGGTAGTACCAACGTACTGTACTATATGTATCATGTGTGTACTGCTGTATTATATTATGTAGTTAAATAGTTTTTTTTTATTTTTTTGCTGCCTTTCTTTTTCAATGCTGTATATCTACATGAAAAATTTACTTGCCAGTGGCTAGAATTTCTGTTTCGTTGAAAACAGATAACTCAACAATAAAACAAACAGCTCGCGCTTCACCAGTCGCTAGCTCCTTTTTGACTTCCGGCTGATTACAGTATTGTTGGCCAGTAGCCATCACTCGCACCGTCGCACAAACCTACGACCCCTTGGGCCCATACCTCACTACGCCGCTGACTCTCAGTCAATGACTGCGTTATGTTTCCGAAAACTTACGTACGCCGTACGGTTCTTAAAAATCAAGGAAATTTGAAATCACTGTGTTTGAATACGAGTACTTAAAGAAGAAAGATTTTTCCGGGTTTTTCTCCGAAAATAATATTATTTGCCGAATAGATTGTCTATTACTGTGTTACCGTTTTAATCACAACGAAATATCGGTGACCAGTATCCCGTTCCAGCTTATTACTCGTACGAAGATCTTGTTGCTCGTTGTCAGGACCGTCATTTTGACTAGAGGCTCTGTGAGGGAACTTGCTTGCTTTTTGCTTTAGTCACTTTCTGACTACTACGCAGTTTCCGTTAAGAATGGCGCTTTATCCAGAAAACACCGAAGATCAACAGTAAGCAGTTCGTCAATCTGCTAAAAATGTGTTTGCTCTATTATTACAACTCAAGTGAGTACGCACAATCAGCGCTTTTATACTATTTATTTTTTATAGGATCGATTGGGCCGGAGAGCTGGAAGATAAGCTTGGTAAGTTATCTGTAATTATTTATGGAATTATGAACCCGTAGAACGACCGTTCTAATATTATCATGCCTTGTGTCTTGTGCAGAAGGACCTAAGATCGAAATAGGAACGAAAATTATCGGAGACCGTAAGGTGGTAACCGAAATCAGAGAAGAAAACGGACAGAGACAGAAGGTACCTGATTGTGTAACGACGCTAAACTGTCAACCTATCATAGTAACGTGGTATTGGTGGTTTATCATATGCTAAGACAGTTTTGGTTTTGGTGTACATGAACACAGCTGTTAACTTTGCAGGTTGTTTCTGAATACAAGATTGTCGTGAAACGAGTCCCGAAAGCTGTAGCGCAGCGTAAAGTAAGTGGTTCAGATTTACGTTGGATACTCAAGGAAAAAATCACTGACGGCTACGTGTTTGGCGTGGTTTTCTAGTTGTGGAAGAAATTTGGAGATGCGCTGGATGATCCTCCCGGTCCGCAGACGGCCACTACCGTCGTCGCGGAAGAAATCCAGATGCAGTTTATCACCGGTCGTGAAGATGTGCGTTTTCGCTATCATTTTGTTTATTAAGATTTTGCCGTAACAGTGCTCGGCTTATTCAGGTAATGGGCACTGACGCTCCGACGATTGGCATTAAAGACAAAGCGCAAGTCCTTTGCCGAACTTGCGGAGGTAAGAATTTTATAATTAACAGCCGTCTAATGACTACACTAACAATAGTTCTGGTAAAATACTGTACCTTATTGTCGGTATTCATTATAACAGTAATAGGACATTTTATTAAGATAAATATACACTATAAATATATATATATATAGTATAAATATATATATAGTAAATGAGAAAATGTTCGGCATATACGAACACGGAATGCCGCTGTCCTATGGTGGCAATAATATAGCAGTCTTTGTTTCACGATTGTGTTTTCTGTGATTGTTATCGTTGTTGTCAATTTTTTTACGTACGTACGTAAGTACCAGAATATTTAAACTGCCCCTCAAAAGTTTCTGATTTTTAAGGAAACCACTGGACCACACAGTGTCAATTCCAGGGCGCTACGGAGGCCGAAAAGGCGCAGATCCGCCAGAAATTCTTGGGAGTTACTGAACCCGAAAGTATGTCATTTCGCTTTGTTTTCTTTCTGAAGTTTGTGGAATGTGTCTGCCTCTAACGCAGCGTCAACAATGGATATCTCCGCCCCGGAGCCGGGTGGCGGTGGGAAGTATGTCCCACCAAGTCGGCGTATGGGCGCGTCCTTGCCGACATCCTCCATGCAGCAGGATTCATTTCCGTCGATTCGGGTGTCCAATCTCCCGCAAGACGTCAAAGAAGAGGATCTTAGAGAGCTGTTTGATCGATTCGGCAGAATTAAGAAGGTTTATCTCGGCAAGGACAAAAAGACAGGCGATTTTCGGGTAAGGAGAAAATGCCTGTGATCTTTGATGTCGCGTGTTGATACATTTTGCTTTGTTTGTAGGGCTTTGCTTTTGTTACATTCTATGATCAGACCAGCGCGGATAAGGCTATCAGTGCGGTAAATGGGCATCGCTATTTCCATATGGTTTTGAACGTCGACTGGGCGAATCCGGCAAAATCTTGAATATTTTAAGATTCATTTATTCCGAATTGAGAAATCTGATTCCCGTGCTTTGGAATTGTGTCGGGAAATCTAAGTTTTTTACGTAGTGTACGCCAGCAAATCTTTACGCTAGTTTTCATGTTGGTTGATATCGACTTGTCACATCTGCTTTTTAGAACGGCTTAATTTGTGTCTTTACAAACTGTCGGATTAACAAAAACTGGTCTTTTTCCGCATTGAAATAATTATGACGACGCAGGCGAAAGCACCCGTTCCCCAGAATCTTTAGTTAGAAATAACGTTAAGTACTGTACGTATAATTCACAAATTCAATCTGAAAGTAAAACCTGCTAATTACATAGTACGTGGTCCACGTGCAGTATCGGTTAATCCAGTAGTACACATTTAATAAAAATATTATAATATTATCTATTATTATACAATACTATAACTATAAAATAATAAAAATTATGTACTGTACTGCACTCACCTGGTTAGTGCACAGTACATGCTCGTTTAAAGTAGATCATTCATCATTCTGTGAGTTCACTGAGTTGTTAATTCATGTACTCACTTAATAAATTGGTCTACCCTTGGATTATCGCTATCAGCTTATCACACCCTGTAGAAGTGCGTACTTACGATTTTAATAAAAATATGATGCAATCAATTCTGTAGTGTGAATTTTGGTAATTGATACATCTTCGGGATGGTAATATAGATATATTACCATTTTTTCAGGATTACATCGAGCATACATGGTCGATAGCAGAAGATTGTACAGTAGTTTCGCCGTAATTAGCGCTACACTACAAATTATTTTGTCATGGGCGTCGCCTACGTTTACCGGTATCGTAGAAATTTATGGCCACCTTATTAAAATGTATTCTTTACTCTTTAGTGTAATTTAAGTGGCGTTTCCCACGCAAGTTCAGTCCAGGACTCCCAGACTGAAATCAGTATTTTTCTTTCAAGATCAAGGGATTAACAGCATGAGCAACTGTCAAACTCAACAAACCACGATATGCTTCAGTCTTCACAATCAACACCAGGAACTACACGACAGTACCGCATTTCCGAACTCCACGACTGCAAGAGGGCTTGCAAAACTGCACACATTAACTACCCACAAGAACAATAACTTACGATAAAAGAAACTCAAACAACGCATTACATCCACGAAGAGAATTACTTGCTACGACTTCCCTTTCTATTTCTTTGTGGATTCTTCAAGATAAGCAATCAAATGTCCACGCTCGTCCTTCTTCTTCAATCCCGCAAAAACCATTTTGGTACCCGGAATATATTTGGCAGGATTCTCCAGATAGATAAAGAGCGTATCCTTATTCCATGTAATGCCCTTCTTCTGGTTTGCCTCAGTGTAATCAAAACCAGGCGACTGGCCTGTTTTCCTGCCTATGAGACCGTGCAGGTTAGGTCCTGTCTTGTGCTTTCCACCCTTCTCCACCGTGTGACACTGGGCGCACCGTTGGACGAAGATCTTCTTGCCCTTCTCCGCATCGCCGGCAGGAACTTCTTCAGGCATGATGAACTTCAGGAAGAATCACGAGAAAGAGAATACTAAATCAGATCTGCCGAAAGCTACCGATATGGGAGTACCCAGGGAAAGTCTCGACTCTCAAGCAATAAATTGTATGATGTAACGTGCCGTGATTTTGTACCAGACTTACGCCATGGTCTGTATATTACATACGCTGTTTCCGGAAAATCTATTTTTTTAAGGTTATTGCGTAGCAGCCGTAAGGCGTGACAGTTGGCAAAGACAAATGAAAGCAGCTGGATTGAAAGAGGTACCGCCTAAATAGGATTATGTTCACCAATCACAGGAGCGGACGATTAGGTACGCAACTCGACGTAGGCGCATACGCGAATGTCCATACGTATCGTGTCGTTGGGCGAATTGTAAACGTTTTTCGATTTCTACCTCTTTTTTCTTCACTCTTCCGCTAAAAAATTAAAAATAGCAAAAACAAAAATCAATTACTGTAGGTTTGTCATTTGCCGTTTATGTTGTCAGAAAAGGGTGTTTCGACCGGGGCAATCTGGTAAATCTAACAGTAAACATAGTTTTGAAGCTTCTCCATTTTTGTTGATTATCTAACACTAACTGGAAGAATGTGCTGTTAGAAGCACGGTCTTTTGGAAAACCACCGCAAATCTCCTGCCTTTCCTGCTTGTGTTTGGCAGTAAGAATCATTCGTTATGGCTCTTCTACAAAAAGCAAAGGTAAATGAGTACTTCCCCCTGTGGGAATTCGAACATGGTTTTTTATGTCTTTATTTTCCGTAGTTTCGAAAAAGATGAACGAAGAATAGTTGTTTATTCAACGAAGAGTAGTGATTTCGTGGAGCAGTCATATTGAAATCAGCGCAAAAACTAGCGTAAACGTTCTGCATAGTTTTTGATTATTACAAATTTCCGCTGTAGGTGCGCTTGCCGCCGGAAGTCAACAGGATATTATACGTTCGCAATCTCCCGTACAAGATATCTGCGGAAGATATGTACGATATTTTCGGAAAATACGGACCGATCAGGCAGATACGAGTGTAAGTAAAAGAAAGTTGAAGTGGCTGTAGTGCGTTAGCTCGCTTCTTTGGTGTTATTTATGTGAAAGGCGCAGTAATAATAAGTTGCTTACATTTTCTGATTTTTCCCCATAAATTTTAAAAATAAAAAAATCATTGTTTAATGATGTTTTGGTCGTGTGGTATAGCTGTGTGAACTCTGAGTTTGGTTCGTGGTGGTCAGGACTCAGGACCTTATCAGAACATCGACTTGACAGTTTAAAAAGTATTTTTCGCAGTTTTGTATGAAAAAAATTGGGTACGGGAGCCGCGAAGTAGGCGACTGTGCCACCCCGTATTTGTGTCCATCCTTATCAAGGGGAGTGCTGAAAAGCTCTCCTTTTCTTCGACACAAATTGAATACGGCTGAACGCTCTTATATAGCGCCATAGGATCCAAATAATGCGAGGTCTTTTAAGCCCCATTCCCATGTCACGTTTTCTCAGCTTTCAGATCCGTTAGCAGTCAACTTTAACTGTGGATGGATGCTTAAATTAGCTGTTGACATTATCAAATCTTCGTTCTTTCTTAAAACTGTACAGGTGCATTTATTGTGCTCCTTGCGTTTACAGTATTATCGTTACTCGTTAGGGCCGGTTAGGCACACCGATTTCGAAAAAAGTCAAAAAAATTTTTGAACGTATTTTTGTGAGCGATGCTCATCTCGGGAAGAACTCTGGAAGAGTATTTATCGGATCAATTCACTTTAAAAATTTTCGCTTTTTGCTGGTAATTCATAGCTACAGAAGTAGTATTTAAAATTATTGTATCGTATTACAACGGCCGGTTATGGCTGTTCTAATGGGTCAGCGTTCCACGATCTTTATTCTGTCGGCTGTTAGTGGGAAAGGCTGGCCCGTGTGACCGTGTCGGCGATAATGCTGACCGGAAGCTGTCTAACGTTGTAATACAGCTGACAATTTAAAGCTGGGATGCACGGTCATCGCATTGCGCTTAGGCAATGTTACGCAAGGTCATCTCAAGAATATATAAAAGCAGGTACACACAGCAAGCGAAGCAAGCTGAAGAGCAGAAAACGCGGGGCAGGAAATATGCAAGAAATTAATTAAGTGTTTTGATAACTTGATACTCAGTTGCTGCACAAACAAATTGTACAGTACACCCATGCACAGTCGATGCACTGTATGAAATACTTAGTTTTATTGCACCCTGTTAATAAGCACTTCCCCTAAAATCTTTTATTTTCTGTTTTTTTAGGGGCAACACTCCAGAAACCCGCGGGACTGCCTTCGTCGTGTATGAGGATATATTCGATGCAAAAAACGCGTGTGATCACCTTTCGGGATTCAATGTGTGCAATCGTTATCTCGTTGTCCTCTATTACCAGTCTAATAAGGTACTACTCAAACGCGCAGTGATAAAGACCGTAATTATACGTAATTAATTCTAGGTTTTGTAATCTGCTTTGTTTTTTAAGGCTTTCAAAAAGATTGATACGGAAAAGCAAGCTGAACAACTCGAGAAAGTGAAAACCAAATATGGTTTGAAAACAGCAGCGTGACGTTTCTTGGGATGCTTTTAGAGCTTTGTGCACATCCTTGCTGCTAGATTCCCCGACATTTGCAAATACGCCATTCCAAAAATTTATCGAATGGTGGTGTTCAATTTGTTTCCAAAATCCAAATAATGTATTGCATGTTACGCGCTCGGCGCTACTGGGAATATCTGATGAACCTGTCAATTTCTGTACTCGTTGTGAGAATATCAGCTGTGGTGTTCGCCTTCAAGGAAAAGTGCGAATACTAGCTTTAATAAAGTACGTTATTTTATTGTAAATGTTTATTACTTCCAAATTAAAGCGTTGTCGCAATAAACATCATACAATACTAAGTCATTCCTTTCTTACAACATCAAACCGATAAAACAATAGAAACCACAACCATGGTTTTCTTCACAGCGTTAACGCAACGAACGAATCGCAAAACACGAGACTCGCAAAATTATTTTCTGCTTTACACGAGACAAAGAATACGTATGTAGCAAATACTTTTTTGCTTCACAGTGGCTCCATGAAACATGACAGGAAGAGCGGGAAAACGACTCTGGAACGGAACCGGCGGACTCCAATTTAGCTGAACATTTCATCGAACTGCAAAACACAGATCCACATGAACAGATCTGAGCCATATCATGAGACATGAGCATATGGTCAACACTATACTATAGCTACGAGTACACATTATCTTACTATACATTTGTAGAAGTCCGAAAGTGAAAATTATAGAACGATCTTCATTCGAGATTTTGAGACCTACCATATCGTCCTCTTTAGCGGCAACTGGAATATTCTTCTTTTCCTTCGGCACCTCTTTGCGTGACTGGAGAAATTCTGTAGCCTGGTGGGATGACACTGTGCTGCTTGTCAATTCGGATTTCGATATGAGGTTGAGGTTTTCTACAATGTTACCACAGCCAGTATTTAACCATCCCCACACAGCGAGTAACATACCGCAGTAATCATGCCTGTCGCCATATTAAAAAAGTCTGTACAACAGTGTTAAGCGCATACTTGCGACAATCTTATTCCACACATCATCGAAATTCTTCTCCAATAGGTCATCTTTGAAAGATCGCAGGAAATCATTGAATGAACCGGGTAAATTCCGCTAAAAATGTAAAACGTCCATGAATTTCGTATATGCGGTAAAGAAAACCGTACGCCTACTTTGACAGACTCTTCCCGCATAGCGTACAACAACAGGATCACTTTATCCGCATACACCGATCCCTCGAAGGTTTTGAAGATGAGCTGGTTGATAATCGCAACCGCCTTTTTCATCACTGTTGAACAAATCAGAAATAAAACTAATACTGTATCGTAGTAACATCTACGAATAACCCGAAAAGCTTTAAAGCCGAAAGTTGAATCCGAAAAGAAAGTTCTACCATTTGCAAAGTGCCCATCATCGGCTTTGCTAACCATCACCCGGAAATCATCAGCCGGTGCAATGGTACCGATGTTCTTGACCGTATCCTGGGCTGCCTTGGAATCATTTTTGGTATCGGATGCGACTACACTCGAATTTCCGTCATCACCAGGATGCGCTCTAGTCATGACGAAAAAACCAACAAAACTTAAAACACCTCAAATCTTTTTTATACTATACAGATATAGTACAGACTACAGATATGGACTTACTCATCTTGGAAAACGCCGCCGTTTTTAAATCGTGGCTTGGTTTCGACTTTTTTCATCGGGAACAACCCTGTCATCTGCTCCACTTCCGCTTTCGATAGCTTAACCAATCTATCTGGCATACGGAGTTTATCCAGTAAACGCTCGTCTAAAGGAGGCACTGGTTCGTCAGGCTTAAGCGCTCTAAACTGCAGAGCCAAATATAAACGTTGCAGATATGGATTGTTGATCTGTTTTGGGCTGGTAGCTTCGAATTCGTCGTTATCTCTGCAGATACAACGAAATTCGATCAGTAATTTAAAAAAAGGTAAGAGCAAAAGGGTTCGCTGCAGAACGTACTCTGTCAGCGTTAGCTTGTCAATGTAGGCATCCATGGTAGTCAATTGTTCGGCGTTCGGCTTCGTGTTATCCTTCTGATCATCGTCGGTCAGTGATGGAAATGTGAACATACGGAGATCATCGGCAAACGGTAAATAATGGAAGTACAGTCCCTGCAAGTGCGATGTTATGACGCAAAACTTCAGCATTAAACATAATTCAAACCATTACGCGGATATTTTTATCGTACTTCGAAGTGTTCTTTTTCATCTTCGCGTATGTGTGGGGAAAGGGATACCAGTTTGGGGGCACTGATGGCATTGTATCCAAACCGGGCAATAACAACGGCTTTCTCTTTTTCCAGGGCGTGCACCAGACCGGATAGCGCTTTCTGAGCGGCTTGGTCGCCTTCGGGTGCTGTCATCACTTTAACATCACTGCCCATATATAGATGGTTTTTCACCTAGATGAATAATTCAGTTATCATACTATTTGCGTCTCTTCGAAACAATCTGCATTTTGCACAATTAATGTTGCACGTCTGACGTTACAAGTACAGTGCAAAAAGTACGTACATGTCATCATGAAAGCTTTATTTTGTGCGATTTGTTGTTATCTGCGTTCTTACAGATCGATCGCTTTTAATTTCCTATACTTCTACTTCTTTTAAGCTTTCGGCTACACTTCTTTTAAGTATGGCTTGTTACTAAAATTACCCCATTTACCTCATCGGCAGACGCAAATCCCAGTACTTTAAGGCATTTCCCAATATTTGTGAATTTCATGGATAACTTATCGTCGGCTGTGAAAGGAACCAATGTGCTACCGTATTTATGTCCTGCAGAAAAGAAAAAATTATAATCAATCAAAATTCCTTCGACAAACAGCGTACCCTCAATCACGTCTTCTGGTTTGATCTCTTCTCTCTGCAGCCCTTTTTGAATGAAGTATTCGACTGATTGCTGAATGGGATTATTTACATCTTGGGCGATGGCTTTCTTCCAGGTCTGCTTAGGCGCCGCTAGTTTTACCTGAAATCAGCACTTTGTTATTTTAATGCCATGCAGATCGCAAGGATGTGTCCCACCTCTGAATACGCTACAACGGGAATTTTCAATGTTTCGCCTAGTTCCAATAAGGCTTTCCATGGCGTTGGTCGGACAACACGAGTTGTAAATTCCGTTGAATAAGCCACTGCATCTCTATAAATTTATAATATCAACGCATTTTTTGCTTTCATAAACGATCAGTCGTAAAAACAGAAAATCCAATGCGAAGCGCATTATACGATATTTGATGCGCAGTTATTTATATCTCCATGCAGTAAACTGACAGCAAACTAAAACTCAGAGAATGAACGCTGTAAATTCATTTTCCAGGTTCAAAAATCGTCATGCTCACTCGTAGGAATAGGATTCTTTTGTGTCCTGTATTTTCAATGAAATCAGTTTCTCGAATAAATGATTCATCATTTTAGCGGCATCACTGAATCCCTTCGCTTGTTTCCCGTGCGTTTTATCATTTCTGACAGCCGGTTCCATCGGGCCAGCATCCAGATCACGACCACTACAACAGCGCGCTGTCAGTGAAAGATCAAGCCAACAAATCATGAACGAATCACTCGTACATCAGCTGCAACACGCCGACATTGGCCTGCTGCAAATCTTTGGCCAGCGTGTCCACTTGCGAAGTGCTGAAGGCGGTGGGAGACTTCAGATTACTGAAGACAACGATTCTTCGGCTGGCAAACCGCTTCCTGCAAAAGGAAAAAATTAACGTATGACGAAAAATCAACGATAAAAACGAAAGATATCTAGTCAATGCAAAATCGCTGTTCTTTTTTTTGGGACATTTTCCTTTACCTTTTCGACGCAGCCGCATCTTGTTCAATAATGTCCAGAGCCACTCTAATAGCGTCAAATACTGCAAAACATTCAACGCTACGTACTGCCGAATGGAAGGCAAAATGAATAAAAAAACCTGTTACTAATAAACTGTTTCTAACAATGAGCTGTAATCAAAATTAAAATCGTACCATCGCCTTGGATAGCTGTCGGCTGGTCCTGGTTGACCATGGATTCCAGCATTTCCCAGCTAACTAGTTTCAGATCTTGCTCGGTTTTAATGTTGTCGTAACGCTCATTCGCGACATCGCTGTTCAGCCGATTTTCGGTTTCCTCAGATCCGCACAGAATTAGGGCGAATTCATCTTTGGATTCCGTGAACAGCTACTCAAATAAGCAAACCATGAAACCTCAAGCAATCTGAAGAATCCAGCAAATAATTATCAGCGAGATAATTCGAGCTGGAACTCACTTTATTGTGCAGCATTCTCGTCATACACGTCGTTGAGACTTCCAGCGCAGTCATTTTCCCTTCCACTACGTCTTTCATCCCCGCACCCACATCCAGAACAAAAACGGTTGCTTCCTAAAGTTGCACAGCGATTTAGAGAGCGGCGAAGATTCAACAGCCGTCAGTGCAGTCATCTAGATATGTACTTACTCCAAAGTCACAAGAATCAATTAGCTGCGCTTAAATACCAACTTACTCTGTTCCACGCCATTTTGGTAATGGCAAGTCGATCAAATAAGAATATCCTTCTATTCAAAAACGTCTACAAAACTGCAAAGAAACGGTGCAGAGTGAAAATTGCGTTAAAAAACTCGCTGCTTTATAAAATCCCCCTTTGTGATTACTGATGAACCATAAACCTGGGAAATGCTCTTAAATAACTCACACCGCGCGGCATATAAATACGAATACTACGCACTGTACGAAACAGGAAACTCCGCTTTTTGTTCGGGCGCCATGCCCTGCGCGACTCGGGCTTTCTATACGTGCAATGCGACTTGTTATCATTAGGACACGTCAATTTTGTACTGGACTGTAGCGGGAAAAAAAACTGCAGATTCGCCGTTGTAACACGTCTCTGCATGTTTTAACGTGTTGAATGACTCAGCAGATTACTCATCCGACGGAATCTAAAATCTACGTAGGCGACATGGGTCCCGGGTGAGGTGAGAAATATGCTAATTGAAGGACAATCAAGGTTATGGAATATTTTGAGAATTTTTTTTCAACAATGCGTACAATATAAAATCAGAAACAATTAACAATCTCCCTCGCCAAAACGGCATAAAACCAACATACAAATCCCACGATCAGCTGACAATGCTTTGAAATGATTGCACAATTTCTTGGCAGAATTAAAAAAATTCAAATTCCTCTGTTAGGCATTTTCTTCACTCTGTAGATACGCACGAGCCAGTGCTCGGAAGTAAAGGCTTCTTCCAGTTTATCCAGTTCAAAGTCCTTGTTACCAATCTCCACATTGCGCACGCGGTCGTATCCGGGAGGCTTGCCTGTAAAATGGAGTACGAATGAAACACTAGAGCTGCAGTAAAACACCATGAACTCACCCCCTTCAGTGTAAACATCGCCGAACCGGTAATAACACAGTTTATACATAAGACAATTCAGCAGAGTGGGAGATCCTTCTCGATCAACGCGGAACTCTCCGGACGGCGTGTAATAATCAGTTTCCTTAATATCAGCACCTCTTTCCGTACTGCCTCCGATACGTACCATCCACAGAAACTTGTTGATATCTGGAAGAAAAGCCCATTAAGTTCCTGACCAATTTCCAAAAAATAATAAACAATTGCAAGGGAAAGAGAAGGCCGAAAAAAATTGCAAAAATTTAGTGCAAAGCAAAATCATAAACTTGCAAATGTCGTGAAAAAGATTACTGGCTGCTCTTGACTACTGTTAATTTGTTAACATTCGGTATACATACCATCAGAAGAATATCCTGTCAGCCCGCCAAATATCACTAGCACGTAATCCACATCTAGTTCCTGCATTATCTTATACGCTCTGTCCTCTGGACGCGACATGGCTTGCCCAACTTGTGATATGTGTGTATTATTCCATGTATTGTTATCCACTAGAATAGTCCGATTTGCCATGGCCGTAATCTGTAATTATTATTTTCGGTTCAGTCCAATTCAAAGCACACTGCGAACTGTGTTAATGCAAACTTACCTGATATCCATAATCCCACCAAGACATAACTTTCGCATCCTACGAATAAGCAGAACAATTTTAATCTAAGATAATCAATTTGTTGTCCTGTTCGTAATAAGCAGCTCCCTAGTATGTAAAGAGATCTGGAATAGGTCAAACAGCCACTAAAAACAATCTAGCGAGGAGAAAAATTGGACACGAGATGGTGCATCTCGGCACAGAGTGCTTCTCGCATTGCATTCCATTGTGTGGTACGAAAACTGTTATACGAACCTCATCTGTATTCATCCGCAACCAATAGTATGCCTCTCGAAAATCATCAAAGATAATCCGATCGCCATGACCACCACGTGCTGATAGCACGATCGAAGGACTACTGTAAGCTTCCGAAGTCACCCAGATACAGTGCCACGCGTATGACGCCAAGAAAACTGTCATCATGCAACACACAGCGGTTCCGATCTAAATAATCGGAAAATTACGGAAATTAATCATCTGAACTACTTTTCTCAAGTTTATCAGAGAGAACTCACTTCGCTCTTGAACCAGTAACTGGTCTCTCCGCCTTTTTTCCCCTTCTTTTCAGCGGAAGTGTCCGGCTCGGAGTTACGAGCATAAATATGAAGGATGGAAGAAATTCCGATACCCGAGAGCACGCACATAACAGGAGCCAATACGAGCATCAGACGCACCATGACTCCGGCAAAATAAATGCTCGTCACACCGTACATGATGATGAAAATGTTGGCATCGGTCAGTTTCTTGAAGCAGTAATACATTCCAACTGCAAACGTTAGAACATTTCGAAATTTTCTAAATGTTACATGAAACGGTTGAATCGCACAACAAACATCGCTGACTCATGCTCTTTCCAGTTTATACCTGGAAACATAAAGACCAAGAGCTGCAGATCGAAGTAGAACGATGACCATGCAGTCGGCTGATGCTCAGAGACTGAGGCGATGATGGGGATGTTGTTTTTGGCGTACGATGGATCCAACAAAGAGTAAAAGCGTCCAGTCCAAGGAGCAATTTTTCCCGAAAGGGATAAGATTAATCCGGCAACACCGATAACGCCCACAAACACCATAGCAACTGACCGCAACAAAGTTTCAAAATTTTCCTTGGTCATTTTTGAGCGCAAATACTCCACAAAGGCATATAGCTGGCAAAGTCCAAATACTCCAAATGCCTAGTTCACCACCAAACGGAATTGCAATAAGAAACACGCTGCTTTATATACAAAAAAACGAAATTTAAAATATCTTACGGCCATATGCTCGCTGGACTGCACAGGCTGGAAGCCAACGAACGGGATCTGCATGGACAAAATCGTTCCAATGCAGTAAACCTGAAAATATTAAGGCATGTTTCAATCGGGCACGCTTGACAACAAGAAGAAAGTGACAAGCTTGGTTCGACGACAAAATTTTCTAGCATGATATGATTAGGCACAAAACCAGGCGGATCTGTGCATTGTACGTTCATGCGACCAAAAACAATTAGAAGTTAAAAAAACAAATTACCGTTGAGTAGGCCACGTATATCCTGTGTGAAAATCGTCCGGTGAAGATGAGGGCCAACACATGCAGGGGTATCAAGTTGATCAAAAAGACGTAGCCTCCCCAGCTTGACACCTGGCGACGGCAGATTAGCGGGTATTAAGTAATAATAATAAATGGGTATGCAAAAACACAGTGAATTCGAAATGATATTACATGTATCAGAATTCAGAATCTCTGAAAAAAATATCAGTACCATGTAAAAGTAGGCAAGAGCACACGCAGTCGACCAATAGATCGATCCGGTTTTGACTGACTTAATCCACAGATAATACGTCAGCAGCATGCAAAAAATGGCAATGCCCTCGTTATCATATGAGCCAGCCACGGATCGTGAAATATACCCTGGGACGATGGAAATCAGAGCGGCGGCTACTAAACCGGCACCGGAATCCTGCGTAAAAACACATCTTATGAGTGCACTCATCTTATCAGTGAACCGAAAATTGGATTGATTTGGGCTGTTTTAAGAAAAACCAAAGAAAAACTTACAACAGCGCAGCGACCTTGTACTGCCGTTACAAATTGAAAAAAATACGATACCTTGAGTTCCTTGGTGAGGAGGTAAGTTACGATGGTGGTGAAGCTGGAAAACAGTGGCGCGAAGAACACGCAGACGTTTCGCACATCGATACTGACGTGCAATGCGTTCATGATGTAGTGCAGCGCTGAGGCGGTCACCATCAGCCCTACCGAAAAAATAACTGTATCCACACAAAACATATCCAAACAGCAACAACCATTCAGAAGTCTGTTCTGCGTGGGTACACTTTTGCGAGGGTGTGATTTTACACTGACTAATTTGCAGTCAGCATGTCGAGCTCCTCGCTGCACGTTTTCGACCGAACACGATGCAAACAATCTGAACTCACCTGGATAAATAGTCCCACCGATAATGCGTCCCAGAGGGTACCAGGCACGGTCATCGAACCAGTTGTGAAATTTATAATATCCCTCTTCGGCGAGATACTTTGTGGTGCGATAATTAAAATAAGGATCAAATTCTGCAAACAAGAAAAAACAGAAATAAGTAACTGCAATGTTTTAACACTGTCAAAATCTGCAAAGATGCCTACCGTGAATAACTGATTCATATCGCAAAACTGAAAACAATCTTGTGCTAAAAGCTGCAAAATATTTGAATTAGAAAAAACATGGGCAGAAATCGAGATGTGCATGAAACAAGGAAAATGCACTTACACATAATACAGCTGACAGTTAAAATTAAAAGCTTTAAATAGGTTTCCTGCTGTTCAGTGGTCAGATTAAGGTATTTGGATAAAGAGTCCTTGGATTTCTGGAGCGTGAAAGTGTTGCCATTAGTCTGGGCAGCAGCAGGTCCAGCCGCGCTGGAGACAGGATTCTGGCGAACCATGGCGCACACGCGAAGAGCCTACAGCATCCACAGCTTCACAGTAATGCAAACCATGCAGCATCGCGCTTGAGTCAAAGCAAAGAATATTACCTACTGCCCTGTTGGGCTGAGTATGCCACAATCCGCTTCCGAATCGTAAACGCTGGATCTTTAGGATGAAAAGATAAATATCCAAAGATTAATTATTATTTGCACTGAAGCCAATCCATGCGCGGATTGATTTAAATTTTGACGCAGCGTCGCTGCACCGGCCGCGGTGAAAAGCTGACGTGGCTGTCCACATCGATACGGCCACTGCCGTACCGCATCTTCGGTGTACAATTGTAGGTGTCTGTACGGCTACGGCGTTACGTACAGTAGACTGGTCGTGCCCGGAAATTTTCTTTTCTTTTGGCGACCTTTCGAGCTTACTCGTTAGTCCGATACGTTACAACGCCTTGGCTTTCTCGCCTTTACTAATAGTGAGAAATATTAAAAGTTAGATACTGTCGACATTCAAATACTTGCACTAACCGCAGCCGATAGAAACAAACCACGACTGGCATCTGACAGATCACCTGCCAACTCGGTAGTTGGTCAGCTGGCAGTTCGTTTGCGTACTTACCGGTTTTAAGAATAAGATACTGGGCTTCCTTCTATTTTCTGTACTTACGAGTTACGGTTAGACACGTAACACACTTCTTCCGCGCCATTCCAAGTTTTTCGTACGTTACCACTTTTATTGTTAAAACGCTTTGAATGTTATAAGCTTGTGCTAGAACGGCATTTGCAGTTGAATTTACACATCCTGCTATGTATAACTTTCCAATTCGGAACTTTAACAGATGGTTACAGATCTTTAACTCAAGAAAATGCCGGCACTGTCAGTGATGTGAGAAGGAAGCAATTTTTGTTAAAAAACAATTGAATGGGTCATAAGATTTACGCTATATATGTCATAAAACCAAACGACTGTGAACGTAACAGAATCAAATTTATAACAGGTAGAAAGTACGCGACCGGTTCAGAGGAGCACGTTTTTTCCAGGTCACCGTATAATCGATCGCAATACTCCAGAATCGCGTCAAAGCAGGAATTCGCTCCATCCGGATGTGGCCCGAGATGACCGTATCCCGCCACACCTCGAATTGCTCATGGGCTGGCAACGACGCCACGGTCTGCATCCAGTGTGTTGGACGGGACTGCGGTCCGGTGGAGAAGCACCATCCGTTCGGTAAATCAAAGAATGCATCAAAGTAGAAGACGAAGCTGCAGAAAGTCGCGTGCGCGGGCGCGACGATTCTAAAATCCGCATCGACTTTGACTTCGTCCTGCTGGATGTAGTACATATCCACTGTCTGCAATGGGATTATCAACAGCAGTTCAAACGGTCTAAAAGTTCTAAAATTAATGCAAAACATGAAACTCCGTAATAAAATACATGTAGCCATTAGCGAAAAAAGAAAATTATAATATACAAACAGTGTAAGAAAATCTGTTTCATAATAAAATGCAATGTTCACCACCATTACAGGTCTCATTAATAACCGTGTGTTAAACCAACCTTCAACTCTGCGTGATCGGTTATGATCTTTTTGAAAGATGCAGTACGATTGGTAGCGAAACTGACATCGGCCTCAAGCAGAAACGACAAATCCACCTGATCCATCGCTTCTCTCATCAAATTAGCCAGTTTTTCAGCTAAAATCTCACGCATTCCGAGATCAATTCGTGAAAAATTATTTTTATAAAATCCGCTATGGTCTGCTTTACCGTTCGCAGGATTTAACGCTGGGTGCCGGGCAGACGCCGATCCAGCCACTTTCAGCACGAACACATCCGGCAAAATGAAGCCCCCAGAACGCAGAAATCGCTGCCGGGCCACGATGACCGAATCCAGCATAGACTCCTTGAACAAGGCGTGCCCCATCCATTCACTCACGATGACGTCCACTTCCTTCGTCCCGTCGGGAAATTCCTGGAGATCTTCGATCCGTTTGTGGATAACGGTAATTTTGTCTTCCATTTTATTGTTCCGCACCAGCAGTTCCGCTTCGTGAATGAATCCGCAGGCATCTACAGCATAAGCGTGTTTGGCGCCCCCTTCTTTAATGGCCAGGACAGATAAAATGCCACTTCCGGCGCCAACATCCAGAACCGTCTTATCTTTGAACAAATGATAATTTCGGCCGAAGGCCATCGCGAAAGTTCCTAATATCAACACAGCAAGGTGAAATCGTTTAACAAGTGATACTGCACTGCAGAGCGCTAGAAAAATGTAACGGAAAGTCGCCAATTACCAGTACGAACCGCGTCGTTCACCATCGTGCGGTGCGCTTCCGGATGCTCATACGAAGCAAAATACCAGGTATTTAACGAAGCGGTCATGGGCTCCGCCGAGCCAATCACTTGCTGCTTCCTTTCCTCTTCTCGTTCGGCTTTTTCTTTAAGCTGAGCTATGGCAGCTTGCAAGTCCAGCGTGAAATGTGGATGAAATTTCTGCTTGTATGGTCGGAGCTTTTGCATTGCTGTTGGTTTCGGTAGGGAATCCATCGCAGCCTGAAAAGCCGTTTCCGATATAGATATGATATATTTACTGTACTCGTTGACCCTAATCACTCGTTGAACCCCATGCAGACAGTACGGTCTACACAGCACACCCTGTTAAAAATTGTACAATTTACGGAAAAAAGCACTTCCAAAGCTCCAGTTGTCCAGCTCCAGCTGAAAATGCTTTGTCTGGATTATGATTATGTCTGCAAGACTGCAACACATTTTTCTTCTGTTGCTCTCCTGTCTCCTCTCAATCCTCTGTGCATTGGTTCCAGTCGTTCATTGCCACCTCTGGTGGTTGCCGCGCCACAGCCAACTCCCTTGATAGGCAGTCAAAGGCAAAAATTTTATGCCTACAAGAATCAAGATCGACCGATTTACTTGCTCATTTACCGATTTACGTCAAATTTTCCGAAGGACGTAGCGCTGCATACGTCAACGGGTATATATATATATATATATATATATATATATATGTATATACGAGGATATACCTGTAGGTATGGATCCATGTCGAGTCATATTGTAACTTGTAAGTTTGTAACACAGGACAGACAGAACGTTTACTGACAATAGAGAGAAATTTACTGTAAACTCAAGAGAGACAGAAATGCTGTAACTCAGGATGGGCAGAGATGCAGAGGCAGAGGTGGAGCATGTATGTGAACAGTGAAAGAACGCACTGAATGTCATCGTCAGTTGATCCAAAGTTTCAAGCACTAGTTTTTCGTTTACCTTTCCATAAAACTTCCTAACCAACATCTCAGAAGATAGAAAGAAAAATTTGACGCTTTTGATCTCTGATAAGTGTTTTTTTGTGGGGAACCAAGAAAGTTATGCTTGTTTTGGTTTCTCGTAGACATAGCATAGGGTGCAAGCAACGCCTCCATCGGACGGACCTATGCTAAGTCTACGAGAAACCAAAACAAGACTAACTTTCTTGGTTCTCCATAAAAACCTACTTTCAAAATATCAAAAAATTCTAAAATTTTATTCTCTATTCTGAAACATTAACTGGGAAGGTTTGTTGAAGTGACAACGAAAAACTGATGCTGCAAGTTTTGGAGATAGTGGCAGTCGGAATCAGGTACTTACTCGTACGTCGTACCCAAAGTCGAGACTAATACACGTATGCGCGTACGCGAGGTGGTTGCACTTGCCGCAGACTATTTCGCTAAAATAGCCGTCCAGCTTGCACTCAGGCAATCTTCCCACAGAAGTTTTTTCCAGTTATTATGTAATAAAACCCGTCCTTCGGAACAGTCCCCACGGGGGGACGCCCCGCTAGGGTTTTGTAATAAATCACTGTAATTTTTCAGTGTATTATTAATAAGTTCCATCATTCTCATACTGCGTGTAGATTTTTCAGTTCTAATACAAATTTAATAAAATTTTCATCGAGTGTATAACTAGAATGGAGGCTGACGTAGAAATGCGGCAGATCACGAGTGCTGCACCCGGAATGGCAACTGAGGATCCGTCAACTCTAAGCGCAGTTCCTTTGAGTCAAAATGTTGTTCGACCCAACCGAGCATCTTCTCCGGATTTCCCGACACATCCATCTCCAGAGATGCCTCTTTGGCTCACTAAATGCCTTAAGCTGCTCGCTTTGCATACCCGTAAGTAACGTTTTCTGTGGACTCATTTTTTGTTTGCTGTAAACACATAAATTTCATGTGCGACTTATTATTTGTATGCCATTGCAGCTGAAGCTGGCGAAGAAATTGGGCGCATGATGGATGAAGCTTTGGATAGGCGCTCAAAATTGGACGAAGCCGCCGCGTCCGGAAATCCGGTATTACTTCTGTTGGAATTAATTACAAAAAGCGTTTGCCGTTATTTTGTAAATTGTTGCTCCTCAGCAGCCTTGATTTTTGCATGTGTCGCTAACTTTACAGATGCCCAAAATCATTCCTCTCGCCAAAGCAGCGGTCCCTGGAAAAATTCCCGCTGCACCGGTGGTGAAGAAACCGGACTTCCCGGCGAAAAGCAAACTGCCAACGAAACCCGAAGGCCAGCCGATGGCCAAAAGACCTAAATTCAGTCCGTCATCCACTCCCGTTCCTCTCGGTCCGAAAAGTTCCTCTGATCCGACTATGGCTGCCTCGGTCTCGCCGGCGCTGGACGATGATGCCTCTGTGGAAGTGCTGGTGTCGGGCACATCTGGCGACAACGTGGACGACACCGAAGTGGAGACGGATCTGTCCGCTTTGCTCGGCGAAGATGCGTGTACTGTGTGCGGGTGTGTAGCGCAGTAGCGGTGCTTGCATTTGGTGCAATATCACTCACTTTACTGTGCATCTGTTTCACCTACGGATGCCATTCCTAAAATATAAACGAGAAAAAAATATTTTAACAGTTATTGAAATCGCTGTTTTCGATTACTTTCATCAGGTTACAATAGCATATCATAGTCAGAATCTTTTTTTTTTCACTAAAAACTGCAGCTCAGAATTCCTCGTTTTTTTCAGAGAGACTAATCAGTCGAGTGGAAATGATCTGCTTAAGTGCTACGAATGCAAGAAATATTATCATCAGCTGTGCCACAAACCGCCTCTGGTTGACGTTAATCCAGATGACCCGCGATTCGTATTTTACTGCAGCGAATGCACGAAGAAGCAGAAGAAACAGTCAGAAAAAGCGGAAGCCAAGCCCCAGTCTCCGACAAAGGTATCTGTTGTGGTTGGGGCAGAGATTTTGTGCTCCGAAACATAGTTTGTCGAAGTTGAACATTGTCTGCAGGGCCGGCAGAGTCGAGGTGTTACACGCTGGCAACATGCCATCGTGTCTTACTCCTGACCTTTACCTTGTTAGTTGTATTCAGTTAGCGGAAGATTCACGAAGGTAACAGTGATTTGTGGTTATTTATTGACATATTGTTTTTCCAGATTGTGCCTATTCCATCGAAACCGAAATCAGCTGCTGCATCAGGCCTAACACCGTCGAGCAGTTCGTCACAACTCTTTAAACGCGCTGAACCTAAGGTACGATATGGTTGCCTTGCTTTCATTGATGTCGGACATTTTTGCTTAGTAATGCCGTCGAATAATTACTTAATATCGGTGTCTTGCAGGCGACTGTAAGTAATATTTCCGCTACCGGAGCTGGATTAGCGAAACTTGCTGCCGGTGCGAAGACCGCTAAACAACATCGCGGCGATAAAGGTACTGAAAGTGCATTACAGTGATATACTATTGACGTTCTGATTGCTTAGGCATTCGTTTTTGTAGATGCTAAAAAAATTAAACTCATTGACCCACCAGCACCTCCAAAGAAAACATAAGTTCAAGATTTTCTCTGCTGATCTGCAGTCAGGAGATCAGTTGGTTGGCTATTTGGACTGTTTTGTCGACGAAAGTAGTTTATAAGGAGTTGCGCCCTTGAAAACTTTTTAACTGCCCGATCTGCTTCCCAGGTTGTAAGTTCCGTGTCTTTACATTAAATAAGTTGTCTCCGGCATTCCTTGGAAAGCTTCTGTGTTTCGCATTTTGTGACGCGAGATCTGCGAGTTAGATAAAGTGCTGACATGGTTTGTCTCCTGCGTTCCGACTCGATTAAAACTTGAATACAAATAAAATACATTAAATTTTGTTCAACACGCTTGCCGGTTCAACAAACTCTTAACCTAAAACCAGATAATATCTGAAAATTAAGTGATTTGTAACCGAAAATTGTAATTAACGAGCTGTTTATGTAATCGGTTACTTATAATTTCGTTAAAACTGCCATTTGAAAGTATTTGTAATGTCCAGTGTTCACAGTCTTAAACTTCAAATATGCGCAAATGTAACGCATATGGTTTTTGTTAAAGGTTATGGCTCTGGCTAATATAGGTAACTTATTCTGCCTTTCTGTCCCAAATTAAAATCCAATTTCAGTGACCAACAAACAATTTCAATTAGAACAATAAAGTTAACAAACCAAAAAAAATTCTATGCAGATGTAGTTATAATGATAACCGCAAGGTCCGCAACTGAATATCACACATACAGATGCAGCAGTATTATCAACGAAAAATATTTTGTCACAAGGTCTTGCGCAGTTTAAAAATTTTTACTGCTCGGTCCATTCCACATGTTGCAAATTTCATGAAAGTACAATTGCTGACTTCCGGCATCGGTTGGAACGCTATTCTGTTGAGTGTCTTGTGGTGTGAGTGGGACAAACTGCTAACATGACTCGGCTCCTCCGTTCCGGCGCGGTTGAATGTGAACATTTGTAAACTGCCGTTATCGCTTCCAACTACCATTAAATATCTAAAACAAAACAAAATCGGGAACAATAATCGGAATGGCAAAAGATTATACAACTCAATCGCAAGTCGGCAAAGGCAAAATACGGCGTTACCGTTCAGCGTCTCCAAAAAGAAGTTCTAAATCTATAGCTGTCACGGCTTCGGACATGGTCAATCGATGAACAAGATCTACTTTTGGATGATCAGGATCCTTGTTGCTGACATGGTATACAAAGATCTGAATAACAATGAATATGTCTCATCACATGCTCCACTATTTCGGGCTGTACGATCATGCAACATCATTACGCATTTTTGTGTTAAGCATATTACCGTTTTGTCACGCGATCCTGTTACAAAATATTTATCATCCGGTGTCCAGGCGCAAGTCCAGATAATCCGGCTTTGCTGTTGGGATTTATCAGGACGCAAGCACAACTGATATGGAACACCGTCATTTTGGCGTTTAAAAAGCGACCATGTACGATCGCGAGATACCGACAGTAGGAAATCGTCATTATGGGAAAAACACATTTGAGTGACCGTTAAAGCATGTGCGCATAAGCGACCAGAAAGCACCCAAGACGTACTAACAGCAGCATTGTGTGGCTGTTTAGACCAGAGGAAAATCTCAGCATGCTCCGGATGGTTGGCCTACGAACAGCGTGTCCGCTAATGCTTAAGCATACCAAGATAAAGATATTATTCTTATTCTCATTCATACTATTACCGCCAAAAAATGGTACCGAATCAAGTATTTAATTACAGCAATAAGTAGTGTAAATGTCAGAAAATATTTCCATAAACTACTGCTTTGCATTTACGATTAAATTTTTGAAACCTTTTTTTACCCTTGATGCAGAAGCCAACAAGGTAGCAGCATGGTTACATGCCAAAGTGGAAATTTCATAACCATGACCATAGAGCTTGTTGGTTTCCGGCCATAACGTGTTCTGTATCAAATCTTCTTCGGGTGGCGGGCCTATAAGAAATGTATCTCCAAATTTTTCAGATACACCGAAATTGTGAACTTCGACTTACAACTTGATCGCACGGGAACATAGGAGAATTCTGCATACCGGTCCGTCGGATGCCGTTGATCTCCTTGGCCCTCTTCTGCCGGCGACAAAGCTTTGTTGGATAGACCGAGAGCAGGAACAGCTGCACCCTCCGCTGCATTTGGCTATAAACATTACAACAATATTACACACAAATGCATCTAACCAAAGCAAAGCCAGCACGGCACAGAAGCTTATTCCTTAATATGAAGAAACAATCGGGAATTCATAAAGTATGGAAGTTTCGATTAGAAATTACGGCGTATAGTGAAAACGTAACAAGTACAGTAATGGTATGTAATTACAACTGCACCGTAGAACCATCGAATAGAGAACCATAAATGAGTTTGTGTGATCGCCCAAGCCGGTTCCTCTCTGTCAGTCTTGACAACCTAACACAGAGTTACCCCTTTAATAAAAATTAACTGCGCGACCTACCAGTTCTTTGTCAACATTGACTTTCGATATATCCGAAAAGTTTTCCAGGAAACTGCGAGGTGCTTCAAACAGTCGGATAATTTTCTCGTCTGCACCGGATGCAAAACTGAAAAATCCAGTGCTTGCCAAACAAACCAAATCATAACCGTGCACTTGTGGACGACTAATCTCGTGCCACTCTTCCTACGACGAGAACCAAGAAATAACAAACTGAAAAAATAATAAAAAAAATATAAAACAAATTTGCTGTATGTACCGGCTCGTACTCCTGGCCTTATGAAAAAAATATATCAATAAAAAACATAATTCAGCTAAAAGATTTCATGCAGAAAGTAAAGTAACGATATCAAGTAATTATTGAAAGCCGGATAAATCGTATTGACTTGAGAGCCATGGTCTTATTTTTAGACGCCGTCATAACGTGCTTGTGAGTACAGTATGTAGATTTGTGCTACGTTAGCTAAAGTTAGAATCATAATGTAAATACCTGGAACCGTTCGCCGTCCGTATGCACCCAAGGAGCATGCAGCCTAGTAGTCTGATCCTGACTGGTCGATAGCAGATAAAGTCCACGTGAATCCCAGACGATATCATTTACAGAACTATAGTGACCACCGCAAACAACGCCTGGATACCATGCGTCCGCTGACTGTAAAGTACACCCCGGTAACAAAACTGAAAACTCTCCTGTTCGTATGAATTTTTTACAGGTAATCCGAATATCTCTGCAACAAATAATCACCTCGTCGTATCTCCACATGTGCAGACTTCCAGAATAACTGTGCGAAATCAGGCAGTTGCCAGTGGGATCAAACTGACAACCATAAAACCCTAAATTGTTCCCACCGACTTCACCCATTCGCGCCTGTTGGATCACAAAATTTTTAGGTCAGACAATCCCAGTAGTCATCTGGCCTGCCGTGAATATTTCAATAAAATTGCGGCTAGCCTGAAATGCATACAATATCTGTCCACACACCCCCGGTGTCCTGTTGAGACTGCCAAACGATGATACTTTTGTCCATGGAAGCCGAGACAATTCGCAAAGGTTGGCTCGCGTCTTTTCCTGCAATCAGCAGGTATTACGTAATTGTAAACGATAGTTTAAATATTCTGGCTTATGGTACTCATCAAATATTAAAGTAAAAACATGGAGAGGAACAAGCAAAAATGTCGATTCTACCATTTGGACGAGCTGGACTCCAGTGAGCACCATATATCCATCCTTCGTGTCCAAAAATTAGTGTATCGTACGTGACTTCGTAATTGGCACTGGACCCTATGAAAGAAGACGAAGTACTAATGGCATTCAATTAAACCCCATGTCACGGCATGTGTCGCTTCACGTTCCCACATTAATGCGACACCGGTTAAACACAAAGTTAAAACTGTTTGTTTTGTCGAAGGAATTCAACAGCAACAATGTCAGATGTCAAATACCTGGGAGCCGCATAACCTTCTTGTTAACCTTTGCCCATAAATCGTCATCATCTTTTTTTTCTGGGACTGTTTCGTTTATCGTCCATAATCGTATGGTGCTGTCCTGTCCAGCGCTCAACAAATGAATAACTCCCAGCTGATCCACCCCCGAAAATTCAACACATCGAATCCAATCTTCATGCCCCGACAAAGCAGTCAAATTTGCAAACTAAATAGCGGAAGTTTGAATGAAATACAGGTCATACTTCCCAAAAGGATCAAACTAAAAAGTAGCCTCCTTACCGTTATTTCATTGTCGTTAATGCACAGCGTCGACAAATGAATTTTTCCGTCATCGCCTCCGCAAGCTAACAATGCATCTTCAAAGAACGTACACAGATTAAACTTTCTAAAGTTTCAAATAGCCTATATAAAGTAGCTGCATTGACAATAAAGTTTACAGATCTTATCTGGAACTTGGAGAGGGTAACTGTAAATTAAGGTAAAACAGATAAATGAAAAAAACCATAAAAAATTTAAGACGCGCAAATAAGTCTTACACGGGTTGGTTGTTAGCTTGCCGCAACTCAGTGTTCCAAAAACAGTTATCTTAGAGATACCGATCAAGATAATCCCATCGTAAAAAAATACGAACTCACTTGTTGTACTGGGCAAAACACCCAATCCAAGTCCAAAATTAATGTTCGCCCGAAATCAATGGTTTTGACGATTTCAAATCCAACCTTGTCTTGGCGATACCATAAATTGACCACGCCGTCGATATCAGCAACAGCAAGAAGACATTTCAATGTATCGCCGGGAATGTAAGTCGCCTTGCCCACTTGCAGCGCTGCTTTCGCTTCCATAAACTGCACCACCGAAAACTATATAATGAAATAACAAATTAAACTCGATTAAACAGAAGATATGCAATCCAGTCCTGCAACAATCCCATTTTTAATCTGCGGTCAGTCTTCATTGTTTACTGTTTAACACTTACGAACATGCACGTAGAAATACAAACCACTTCGTAAAATTTATGGCTGTAAGCAATAAAATTTTCCAAATTTTACAAATGGGTATGGATATACCAACGATTGCAATCTGATTGTTTAGATCTAATCTGTTTTCAAAACAACAGAACAATAATTATAAAAGCCTGCGCCTGAGATTTATTGTTATATATTTTACCGGTTTACCCTTCGATTTTCCAAGGAAACATCATTTCCACCAGCATTTTCAGCAGTCATCGACCAAATTACACACGTTTTGTCCGACGACACAGAAATAAACTCATTTTCTAATCCTACAAAGGTCCAAAATTAATTAAAAAACAAAACGAGCGAAATGAAACAAAAAAGCGCAGTCTATTCAGTTAAGCAATGCAATTTTAGAACTCGTACTGTATTCGTTCGTACCTGTCACACAATTTTTTATCCATCTGACGCAGTTCACTGGCTCACTATGATTTCGTAGAGAGTGGCGAGCTTGAAACCCCGGAGCAATTCCTTCTTTTATTCGGTCCTGTACAGCGGAATTCTATGTGAAAACAAACTGAATCAATTTTATTTAGAGAAAAATAAACTTACCGTAATGTGCGGATCACAAACGATAATATTGGCATCGCTAGCGTAGAGAAGAACTCCATTATCACCCCATGTCAAACAATGCGGTGATGTGTTGCAGCCAGCGCTCAGATAAATCAAATCAGTGTGCATTTCAGTTCGATCATAAGTCGGATTTTTTTCAATCTCCGTAAAACCCAGGCATCCAAATAAACCGACAATTCTCCACAACCCAAAAAGGATATTTCGAATATCGTCGAAAAAACAAATTAGTTTTAAAACCTCGAAAAGCAAGCACTTTGCAGCTTGCTCACTGCCGAATGCTTAACCTTCGGGCGTGCGAGCCGGAGCTGGAAGTGGGCGGCAGTGCTGTGCGACAAGTTACAGGGTTACAGCCATCTCAGCCGTGTGACTCGGCGCGCTACGCTAAGTAACTTATTACACGTAGCTGCTGCTACTTCCATTAGCTTTAATACAGTTTTTATAATTTCAGTTTTTTTATTTTTTACGCTTGCGTCTTTCGATCTTACAGTGAAGTACGTGGTTCAGAAATTATTTGGTGCTTATTTCAGACGTGAACCTTGATCATTTTCACTAACGTTTTCTGAAACCATTATTTTCATTTCGAAAAGCCTCATTTAATCTGCACAGGATTGGTTTCGAACCACCGGATAGTGGGGAAGAGCGAAAATGTTGTGGATAGTATCCTTCGTGGCAGCACTATTGTGCATCTTCGGATTCCGCTTTGCTTACTTTTATTTGTGTGTGAGAGGAAAATCCGAAAGAGTATCCAGGAAAGACTTGCCGTTGCGGCTGATGGTTATACTGGGTTCAGGTAAAACTTTGTTTAATGACGAAACTCTGTTCTATCAGCGCTTTCTGATCGAATAGAAATTAGTTCGTAAATATTCTTCGTAGACCGTAGTTATAATAAGTTATTACTTATAACTTATTGTTAATATTGCTTTTTAACTTTTCCTTAAGTCGCATTTTGATATTTTACAATGACAATTTTCTTCCACACCGATAACCGGGAGTCTAAAAATATGCCCCAATGGAAGTATTACTGTTAGGAGGCCATACGACTGAAGCTTTGTCCCTGTTGTCACAAATGAGCGCTAGCAAATACTATCCCGTTACGTTTGTGTTGGCGGACACGGATAGCACGAGTGCCATGCGCGCTGCCGTCTTGCAAAGGCTGGATGCAGAGACCAAAGAAGAGGTAATCAGTAATCAGTGTGATTACTAATCACACGAGGTGGTGAAACGTTCCACAATTGATTGAAAACGTATCTGTATGGTGTGGTTTTACGCACAGGCTAAATTCGTCAAAATTCCTCGGAGTCGAGAAGTGCGACAGGCATGGTTAAGCAGCGCTTGGTCGACACTGTATGCCACCATGTACGCTTTGCCAATAGTGATTACCGAGCGACCGGATGTGGTATGTTCACGTATATCGTGCGATTGTCTTGAGCTGCAATTCAAACTGATCTAAGCATAAGAACGGGTGTGTGTGTGTGTGCGTGTGTGAAATACCAAAGGAAAACTCGCACTGCATTTCCAAAAATTAATCGACTGCACCAGTACTTGCAGTCGTAACGCTTAAAATACTGTACATTCAAAGCTGTTAGCCGTTAACCAAATAAGCTACTTCTGTGAGCGGGAATCTTGGTTTTAAAATGGGTGATGCTCTTTTTTATTCCCTGCGGTAACCCGTGGGCGGTACTATTAAAATAGTACAATGTTGTTGTGACAGGCAAGCGCAGGGGACTCACAGTGAGCTTTATTGACAGATAAAGGGAGCAAATACCGCGTGATTGCGGGAGAGGAAGAACCAAGAGCCAATGTCTGGCTATGCAAAATCAGCACGTCAAGTTGCTGAGAGCAAGTTCTAGAGCGTAATGAAATGTAGAGAGAGAAGTGTGCTGGCGGCAACGTCGTGCTGTCCAGACATGTCGAATGTGATGCGCAGACTGGACTCGTATCCAACGCGAGCGTATAAGCGCTGAGTCATACAGCGAGAGAGGAACGAGAGAGCAAGTATGCTCAGTGAGTGCGCCCGCGGTGGATCCGCTAGGCGGAGAGTGCAGTGCAGCCACTCACGTACGTACAAGAGAGGGCGAATCAGCATGTGTGCGTTGGTACGCATACGCAAAGTGGCGTATCTACCACGCAGGCTGTCGTGCCTCTAACATGCCTCTGGGCGGGAATCCGAGCTCCTGCGAGGATGCTCCGACTCAGTACCGCGCCAGCGTCGCACCTCTCCGGTCGACCCATGTGGGGTCGCCGGTACGCGTCCTCTTCCAGTGGGAGTCCGGTGTCCTGTTGACCGTCCCATCCTTCACTTCCAGACCCATGAGAGGCAAGCAACTCACGGCCGCAAATCTGGAAGCCGCTCGGGCGTTTCGTTGGGCCGGTAATGCTTCTGTCGGCAGGCATCTTGCTTCTGTTGGCTTCGGAGAACGTAAAAGAAAAGTGTAATGACGGTTAAACAGCGCGAAAGAAAAATGTAATAAAGTTTAATCACAATTCCAGTGAGCACAAAGGTAACACAAAACAGGTTTGGTTAGAGATTATTCCGACTAGGATGACGTCCACGGGGTCTTGAGTTTTCACGGGGTCTTCTTTCCAAATGCAGTCCTGTACGTCAGGTCCGGGGCGTCGGTTCCCAGATTACCCAACGTAACCGGTAACTTGTGCAAGGTCGGGTAAGCACGGCTGACACTTACAACCGACTCGTTTCCGTCCGTTCGGAGAGAGAGGCACTGTCGTTGCGGCGAATGCCGAAGTATCCTCTCTGAATAAGGGAATTAGACTGAGGTCGGTTGACCACGGTCGGCCTACTGGTAGGTTGACCAGCGGCAGGGGAATCCGGCTAAGTTCCGAATTCCAGAGTTCAGGTCGGACAAAACCGTACTTGTGTCATGCGACTTCCGTGGTCGCCAAGTGGTAATGCCGATAAAATGTGGACGGTCGAAACCGTTCAATCTGCTACCACGAGCCTGGTTATGACTTCATCCGATGCGAACTGGCTCGAAGGTCCGGTCGGAATTTCTTGTTCCTTCCATCCACTGATGATTTACTGTTGGCATCTGACCTGTTGTCCGTTAGGATGGATATCCAACTTGAGGTCGGTCTTAATGTTATCCGACCTGAGGTCGGTGATAACGTACCTCCATGGTCGACCTCGGTGACCGTGTTATTTAGACCCATGTGGGGCCAAACAAGTCCCGTTAAGTCGAATGAAACCATTTCGAGGTCGTTTCCAATTCCAATCTTCAGTTTGGTTATCCTTCACCGACCTGTTATCGGTGACTTCTGATGTCCGACCTGAGGTCGGGTATAATGTTATCCAACCCGAGGTCGGTGGTAATGTTATACGACCTGAGGTCGATTACCACGTGACGTTAGTACTGATCCGTTAGAAGGTTGTAATCCGGGTAATCCGCTGGTGTTCCAAGCGGTTCTTAACGATCCGGTGTTCTTAGCCGACTTCCGTGGTCGGTTAAACCGGTTATCCGACCTGAGGTCGGTGATAATGTTATCCGACCTGAGGTCGGTTATTCCGTGTCCCAAGTCGAGCAAGGTCGAATGCATCCTTCCGGATGTCGTTTTCCGAGGAGATCTTCCAAAGGATATCCATCTACCGACCTGTTGTCGGTTACTTGGCTTGTCCGACCTGAGGTCGGGTACGATGTTATCTGACCGGAGGTCGGTTATCCTGTTTCCCAGGTCGACCGAGGTCGATTTCGTCTGTCCAGAAGTGGTTTTCCGTGGACATCTTCAATGGTGTCTCCATCCACCGACCTGTTGTCGGTTACTTCACGTATCCGACCTGAGGTCGGTTACAATGTTATCCGACCCGAGGTCGGTTATCCTGTGTTCCAGGTCGACCAAGGCGAGTTATACTTTTGTAGGTCCAAGTGGGACCATACAAGTTCGTTCTGGTCGAATTCATCCGTTTGGAAGTCGTTTTCCGTTAGAATCTTCCGTCCACCGACCTGTTGTCGGTTATCCGCACATGTCCGACCTAAGGTCGGTTACAATATTATCCGACCTGAGGTCGATGATTCCATAATTGCAGGTCCAAGTGGGACCACACAAGGTCGTTTAGGTCGAATCTATCCGTCCGGAAATCGTTTTCCGTGAAAATCTTCCATGGTGAGTCCATCCACCGACCTGTTGTCGGTTATTCCCCATGGCCGACCTGAAGTCGGTTACAATGTTATCCGACCTGAGGTCGGTGATTCCATGTTTAACCGAGGTGTTTTGCGGTGTGCAGGCTCAAGTGGAGCCATACAAGTCCGCTTTGGTTGAATCCTCCTCATAACCGACCTATTGTCGGTGACTTCACTTTATCCGACCTGGGGTCGGGTATAATGTTACCCAACCCGAGGTCGGTGATTCTTCATCGAGGTCGGTTTCGTCCGTCAAGAGGTCGGTTTAAGCCTCTGGGCGTCCATCCGGGCTCCGCAAAGTTGTTAGGAGCGATGGTTGAGTTTGTACCTCTAACATGCTCTGGGTCGGGTCCGTGTTCCGTCAAGTTTGGCGGTTCCATGGCGTCTGTTGGCCATTCGGCATGCACTCCTGGCATTCGTCCGAGCTCTGTTGTCGGTCGCTTCGCTTTATCCAACCTGAGGTCGAGTATAATGTTGTCCAACCCGAGGTCGGTGATTGTTCATCATGATCGACTCCATACATTAAGAGGTCGTTTCAGGCCTCTGAGCATTCGCCCAAGCCCCGCAAAGTTGTCTGGAGCGATGGTCCGGTTCGTACCTCTAACATGCTCTGGGTCGGTTCTTAGTCGCTGTTGGTCGGTTGTCCCGTTGAGCCATGTGACATCAGATTTTTGCCTCTGGACGGGTCCAAGTTCCGTCGATTTCGTCAGTTACCGTGGCGTCTGTTGGCCAGCATGCAATCCTGGTCGCTTTTGGCGTCAAGGGACTTATGTGGTCCCTTTTAACCAGGTAATCCCTTGGTTGAAACCAGCGTGCAGTTCTCGCGCCTTGGCAGCGTTGTGCTTCGGGCCCCGACTTATGTCAGACTGCCCGTTTCCATCCTCAGGCACATGCAAGGTTTTGAGGTAGAATCAGACCTTCACTTCCCTGGTTGGAGTCTTTTGTTGCGTTCCACAACCGGTGACGCCTTGCCACTTCCGTTGGGAAAAGACGTTACCCGTCCGTGGTGGGGTCTGCTTGGGGGTGCAGTTCGCGACCACTAGCGCTTTGCCTAGGATGTTCCCTTGGTATGTCCTGGGGAAGTGGGTCGGCGGAGTCGTTGGTACACCGGTAGCCAACTAAACCGTCGGGAGCCCCGGCCAGACTAAGGTCCGGCCAGACTAAGGTCGTGGTTCCCGCGGTCTGCGGATGTCGTTATCGACTTCTGTCGTCGATAAAGGTGGCCTGTTCGATGAGGCGATCCGATTTGTGACTTCCGTATGCTTCCATCAGGTCGAGGTCGGTTGGTCGAGTGTTGACGTTTTCTTAGGTTGGCTACCATTGGTAAACGACTTCTGTGGTCGATTTTGGGTAGCAGGTCGTAGTTGACCCGATCCGCTCTGTTGCGGTCCAAGTGATTCTTGGTTCTTACTTCCGGAGTCCGGTTGCCGAAGTAATTGATACGACTTTCTTCGGATGTAAAGTTGAAACTTCACCGACTTCTGTGGTCGGTTAAGTTACCCGAGTCGTAATGCGGAGGTCCAAGTTTCCACCTCGGGAATGGTCGACCTCTGTGGTCGACTGAGGTAGTTGATCATGGTTAAAGGCCGCGGTCTGCGGGGTAAAACCTCTGGGCGTAATCCGTTTGTTGGCTCCTGCCTTGAGTGTGCCGCTTCTATCATGTCGTAACAGTTCGGTTTTGACTTCTGTGGTCAATTCCGAACCATGTGACATTCCGAACCGATGAGGATACCACCGTGTTCGGTGACGAAAGCCACTGGTCGGTTACCCGGTCCCAAAGTTGGCCACGGGTGCCAGGCAAACACTGTAGGGAACGCTCGGAGTCCGGGGTTCCGTACAGTGTTAGCGTAATCCTCTCAGTCTATGCTCCGGAGTCGGTTGGCCGGAGTTATTTTCTTCGGTAGCAGAACGTGGTTCACGATATGCTACGTTAGCAAGCCGGGGCGTCTGTTGTCTCCGGTCGAAGCAGATGTGGTTGTTGATGTGCCCATGCCATGCTGGGGAAGTGAGGTCGGTTGCCCAGTTCGGTCCAGGGGATTCCTCGGAGGACGTACCGGTACGGTGAAAGAACCGAAGTATCCAGGTCTGACCACGCGTTTCCGGGTCCGACCGAAGAATCCGGCTAACTTCCTTCGTTCTTTCAGAGCTGTGTCCTAGTACGGACGACGCTAAATCCCAAGTGGGGACATGTAACATAGTCGTAGTTGACCAATTAACGGGTCGACTTTTGAGGTCGACTAAGAAAGCGAATCAGGATTATGGT